TCTTGGAAATCATCATAAAAGAAAGAGAATAATGGACAATTGATGAAGATGAACGACGACAGACTCTTGTTCACGTCTGGTGAATAAAGAGTGGAGACACGACCGACAGGGTTATCATGTTCGAGAAATTTTCCGTCATTTCAGAAATTCTGTTTCAATAAGTCCTCTACGAATTCCCGAATAGCAGTACATGTATTTCCTTCCACCAAAACCTTCACGATCTTAAAATAATTTACGGATTTTTATGATCATGATGCCTATAAATTATAGCGAAACTTCCTAGACTGTTCAGATTAGAACCCTTTGCTGGATTCTTTAGTGATAATGTTTATTTCAATTTTTTATCTTGTTTTATACGACCCGTGTTCCATATCTACTATGCGGATCCCGGCAATTTTCTCATTCGATTCGTTTTTTCGCAACCATCATTCACTAAAGGTGTTCCAACTTTTGCGTGTGGCTTCGGATGCTGCTTTTCATATCATCTTCAATGTCGTAGAATACTGGTCGTCTAGAATCTCACTGAAGTCCTGAGATAGTCGGGCTGGAGCATTCCTAATTGGATTGCAGAAAGTGATTTTCTTTCCAGACAAGCCCGGTACCAATTCCCCGATTCCGAGGAGGTGAGAGACTTAGTGGGCCTGGAACGGGATCGAACTAGCACCGTGCTTGTGCTATAGTTTACTTCAATACGAACTGCAAACTAAATGAATGAAAACGAAAGAAAATTAGGAGCATTGCAGTAGATAAAGGATAAAGAATAAAGCTCTTGGCTCTGATCGTTCTCTGAGGGATGTGCCATGCATCCGACTTCATTAAGCATCGTTGGAAGTGACTGAATGCATATCAGGACTTTACAATAACTCGCGGTGGCCTACCGATGTATTATGTCGGTGCTGCTATCCTCCCGGACAAGTCTGGTATTAATTTGCTGACCCAGAAAGAATGGAGGACTTGGTGGGCCAGAGGCATGAGGATCGATCCCATGTGTATTGCAGTGTACCTCACTACACGCGTCCTAATGCCAGAATTGCAGTAAAACGGAACGAAATTAAACTAAATTGACTGGAAATTTCATATTTACTACATTTACAACATTTTTCGCAAAAGCATAAATGTAATAACTGGACTAATATTCTCATTTAACAACTTGGATTAATGCGATAGTATTAGGTTCTCAGGAAATTATTGACCGATTTCAACCAGTATTTTCAAAGTGGCATTTCTCAGTTGGGAATAAACTTTATTAATTTCTGTAAGAATCATTAGAATCTGAACAATTTAGCCAGATCAAAGAGGTTTTTATCTTACTTGTACAAAATTCTGAACTTCTGAAGACGATGAGGTGGCTGAGGGCAGTTCTGGTCTGTGAAGTACTTTTCGCACAGGAAGTTATCGCGATAGTTGAAGAGAAAGCAGCGAGAGGTTTGGCGAGTGTAGCTGATGAGCCCGAGTTTTGTGGCCCATCTCGTTCGATCTTTGTGACCGCACGTTTGGAAAACGATCGTTCATGTCTTGTGACATCCATTTGTCGAAGTTCCTCGACTTCCCACTTTTTTCAGATGCTACGAAACAGTTGAGAGGATTATACCGAGTTTCTTTGCAAGTTCTCGAACAGTAGTGCATGTGTTTGTTTCAACCAAAGCTTCAATTCATAGTCGTCAATGACAAAAGGATGTCGGCGATTTCCTTATCTTCAAGATGCAATTCGGCACGACGTAATTTTCGAAACCAACTTTGCACTATGCGTTCGAGAACACTTCCTTGGCCCTATACCTCATTAGTGTTTCAAGTTCCGCTTGGCTGCTCTAAGTCCGATTTGAACTCGTAGCTGTAATTTTGTTGAAATTGCTGTTTTGACGTGTGAACTTCTAAGCTGTAGAATTTTTCAAACGTTCGATTTCCTGTGATTCAGTTATACGTTTGGAAAGCGCATAAGCTAAGTTTACAATGACGATGATATTTTAGCACTGGGAAAAATCTATTGCTAAAACATATACAAGAATGGTAGAACTATAGATCGAACATTAATTTCGGGGCAACCCATAATAATGGTAATGCATAGTCCGATCTGTCCCTCCTACGTTTATAACGTTGATGCCTGAGCATTCGTTTCATTCATTTCGTTATCGTGCTACTTCATCCATTGAGGTAGTTAAGCTCGTTTATAGATTGAACTCCGCTTTAAGGATCTTCGGGTTTGTAGCCTTATTGAGACTTTGATTGCTTGTTGATGGTGGTTTGCTGGAATTCTAAGAGAATCGTGTTAAATGTTCCCATGTCTTTACTACAAACGGCATATGTCAAGTAGAGATATGCTGAATTGCGACTCGTACTTCTCCAGAAAAGCAGCGGTTCTCCATATCGGCCTTCTTTTACTTGGATTTTCTAGTAAAATGTTCAACTTCTTTTCAAATTACCTGCTACTCTGGTGGATACGATTGAAACGATGCTGTATCTCTCAGGTCTATACCTAAGAACGTCGCCAATTTATGGTACCGTAAATCATTAATATTTCTAATGTAAAGTGAATGATAGGAAACGTTAAAGATAAAGCTCGCCGGCGTTGATCAACCACTAAGGATTCTCATTTCGTACATCATTCGTAACATCGTTAAGGTCGTTGAATGCATATTTGGCCAATAAAATGACTTCTGGGTGCCCAACGATACATGAGAACATTTCTTGCCCAAGACAAGTCTAGCGCCAGTTTGCAGACCCCAATGGAACTTTGTTACCCACAGGCGTGCGATTGAACCAACGACCATGTGTGTGTTGCATGGTATTTCTAAACATTGCACAATGGGCCTCCTGAATGATAGATACTTTTTAATAGTTTTGGATCACTTTATGAGTAGTGACGTTATAATACTTTGCTAATAATGATTATATTCTTAGTAATAGTTGTAGTAGTGACACTATTAGTACTAGCAATGGTAAAAATACTGGTTCACTTTGAGGTATTCGGTGAAGAAAACTAAGATTCTTCATGATTGAATGACATGGATAAAAGTACCGTTGAAGCTCTTCTTTTTTGAGCCATTCATCAATTCGTTCGTTAATCCAACACCAAACAACTACGCCGACCAGAGGAGAGAGGTCGTAGTTATACCAATTTGCCCGATCAAAAACTACGAGGCAACCAAAAATCACACAAACTGCGATTTCAACTCTGAGGACATCATATTACTTCCTATGAAAAACGCCGTAAATATCAAATAAACCAGAATAGGAACTTGGAACCTCTGCGGGTCATTGCATGAGACAGTGATAAATAAGTGTTGTTTAAAAAAAGCAACTGTGAGAGAATTTGATAATGGTCGCAAAATAAAATGAATACGGTTATTGAGTGATAGACAGACGAGTTGTCAAATATATCTGGTAGAACACTTGCTGTTGAAGAAGGCATTCAAAAAATGCTTAATTTCCGCTCGATTAAAGCTATTAGTGAGCACTGTCATTCGTTGCAGTGGTTCTGTCTTTTCGGTTGGCGGTAGCTTAGTGGTTAGTGATGTCGTCGAGCAAGAAGCAAAAGCGCTGGTTTGATCCCCGCCCCACCCTTCTTCTCCAGTCTACACGGGGACGCCGTGCCCAGCTCTCCCCATGATTTCATGGAGAATTTGCCTGACCAGCATTCTAGTACATTCGTAAAGAAGGTAAAGTCTTCAAGCAGAAGTCGAAACAACACGCGAAATGTTCGATGACTATTTTGGACGGTTGACGCAAAGAAACGAATCGAATGCAGCAAGTGGTGGAAGTACATGTACAAGATGATAGAGTAGATGATTGGTCGTGTAAAGTGCAAAAAAATCGTGTCCTATGGCGTAGGTTTATTTTAGGTCGTGGTTAATGTTGTCCTACAATGCACGTGAGGTCATTCGTTCTGATTCTCCGTATCTGTTATACATCGGATATCTGTTGTATATTTACAAAACACTCTCATTGAACAGGATTATATAGAGTGGTGGTTGAATGTACACTACAATACATGTGGTGATGGGATTGATCTCGTTCTGCACACAAACCACGTCCCCCTTTCCTCCGAAGTTGGACACCTGGAACCACACTTATCTGGGAGGATAAAGATACACTGACTAGGTACATCGGTAAGCCACTGAAAGTAATAGTTCAAGCAACATATGAATTGGATTGTTTCTAGGATGTTACAAATGAAGTCGAATGCAGAGTTCATCCTTATAAAATTGCTCGGCGCCAAGCGTTTAACCATATCTTTTATATCGTTTCCTTGGCTTGAAAAATATGAAATGCCTTACAACTAAAATTAAGAAATGGTTAATTCGACTAAGTGGTGATGTGAAGACATTTCATTCATGCAACCACAATGATGCTGAGATATTTGCAAAACTTGGACCACAGGCAAGATTCGAAGCTGCGATTACCTTTTCCAGGAGCTCGAGTATTACTTGCACCACTGAGGCTTTTGCTTTGCATTCCCTCAACCACTTTTTTACCCCAACGTTGCTATGAGCTCCGGAAAAGGTAATCACGAGTTGGAATTTGGCCTGGGGTTCGAGTTTTGCAAATATCTCAGCATCATTGTTGGTGTGCTTCACATAGTACCCTGCTGTGAAAAAGTAATTGACAGCAGCTAAAAAGCTAAACACCGTGATTTCATCCATACACTTTGTGTTTTTTCTGACACATGGACGAGTTTCCAGTTTGTTGGTAGAGAATAATATGAACCTCCCAACGGTTTACCGCTTCATCGTGGCTGAGAGGTGTTCCTGGCTTTCGGGCTGCGATGTACAGCGGGGGGATTCATCTCCCGGCAGGGTCTCCCAAGGTGAGAAGGAGTCCGACATTTCCATCAGGAAGCCCAGTCAAGAGTAAACCATTACCAGGATGCACCACCGTCCTGGTATCAAAGTTGCATAGTGGCAAATCTCCCTCTGTTCCACAAGGGCTGCGACTGCCTGTGGTGGTGAAGACCTGGGACAGACTTTGGCCAGGCTGACCTTGTGATTCCAGGGAACCACAATGGCTTCACCAGCAAATCTCCGAAAAATGGAGATTGTGCTGGGCCCCCCACAACCAGTGAGGACGGGCCATTCAGGTGTCAAGTATCAAGTAAGAATAATAAGAAATTCTAGTCAAACTAGAAATCCTTGCTTTATTCTTTATACTTTGCGTAAAAATCTGTGGGATGCGCTATATATTCTTCTTCACCAGGCATTGTTAAAGATGATGCCTACCTGCCATACATCATGTATTGCGGTGACCTACTGATGTTTAGAGTCAGTCCTTTATGTTCCTCATATATTCCAGAGTAATTGAATTTCTTCCAGATTAGCGGGGATATTGTCCAGTAGTTTCATTTCATAGAAAGTTGCAAATTTTACTGAACCATAAAATTCTTGAATATTCAATCCAACTCCTTGTTTTATTTCACTCATCTTTCTCATTTACATTCGTTGAAACACCAAAACTCCCAGCTGATTTTGTTTCATTCAGAAAAATTTACGAAGCGCTCATAAATATGTCTGACAACTAATCTACCAATCATCAATCTTCTTTAGATTTTATTTCCTCTTCCTTAGCCACAGATATTCGTGCCTTTTTCCTGGATTTTTTTTAAAGAAAAACCAGTATTATTTTATTTTACATTTTTTTTCTCAAGTTGATAAGAATAATTTTCCTTGGAATTTCAGTTTCAAATTTCTCAGTCATCTTACGCCTCTCTCACAAATACCAAGTTCTACCGGTAATCGACGCTTGCCACAATTTCATCAAGGAAATTGATCTTCAGTCAGTGTTCTCCATCTTTTAATTTTCACTGTCGAATATTCGCATTAAGCTATCCGAATTCAAAAATTATTTTTCGTCATTCCACAAGACTTAAATTTTTTCACATTATGCATTGTGATAACGCAAAGCGTCGAACCATGATTATATATGTGGCTGCAGAACAATTTTCACATTTTACGGTTCATTTAGATACCATAAGACTTTCGCTACGTTTGCGCTATCAACGGATTATGAAGTAACTGAAAAAAGAAGATGGTTTAGCTAAGACAAATTTTGGCCTATATACCCAGTATTCAGAATAGGGAAAACTGGTGATAGTGGAAAACTAATCAGTTAATCGATCGACCGATTATCAATGGATGCTAATACTTTCTTTGTAGCACACTGAATCCGGATGATGTATTAACGTTGCTGATAGCTGCTTGTGAATTCCACTGTGATCGAGACGTTCTAGTGGCATTGATAGGTCGACTGGCAATCGAAGGAAACGCTGTTTTCACTCGAATGAAAATCAGTCGTTTTCTACCGACACAGGTCGGTGATAGACGCCAAGTGTATCTTATAATACCGTAGATGGGTCAAAAAGAACAGCGATATATCAATTTTTCATTTATCTGCTGTTTTGCGACGATTAGTTCAACAAATAGGTCTATGCCACATGTATTGATCTCAATGCGCATATTAGGAAATGCTGGCAGCATGTGGTTTTCGTGTTACACTGACACCCTAGAGTATATGGAGATAAACAAACTAATCCCATTAACTGCTTTTCTTTTACCTTTATTTTCAGATTTACGCAGCTGTGATTTCTGCATCTATCAATCTAACACAACTGCATGAATATGAAACTATGAACGGACACTGTTTGAAAATGGAGAGGTTAGTGTGGATATTGTGGGGAACGTCAACAATCGTGCCATAGGTTGTCCATAAAACATTTCTTCCAGTCATTTTTTTAGCAGAGGGAAAATTTGGCTAAAAAGGAAACTGTTTCCACCCAGTATCAAATAAACGTAGGGTGCGTGTGGCGTAGTGGTCGGAGGCGCCCTGCAACACAGACGTGGAATCGATCCCTGTGCCCATGGTCCACCAAGCTATTCATCCCTCCGGGGTCGGCAAATTCGTACCAGACTTGTCTGGGAGGATAGCAGCATTGGCTCGATACATCAATAGGCCACCACGAGTCATTGTAAAGGCCAGATATGCATTCAATCACTTCCAAATGATGCTTAATGAAGTCGAGTGCATGGCGCATCCATCAGGGATTGATCAACGACGAGAGCTTTAGCCTTTTATCCTCTTATCAAATAAACGCGAAAGCAACAATGAGTTGTTAACTATTTAGAACGTTACCATTTAAAAAGAAATAGAGTATGGATCCAACTACTAAAGATGGTTATTCCTTTGAAAATTGTGACGTCATTGATGTCAATGATGACATCGTTCTAAGAATTTTTCTCAGAATGAAAATACGATGGCGTAATTCGGTGTGCGAACAATGCAAATCGATATGTGACCAGTGTGCAGTGTGCGAGGAGTGCAAGAAGGTACGTGATTACGGATGCTTCCAGTTACCGCATCCCATTTATATTTTAGACAGTGGACGTTGTGGTGTTGATTAAAGAGTTTAAAATTCTTAAAACTGGCTGTTTTGAAAGGAAGTATAAAGTATTAAAAGTGCAGCTGATTAGATTTCTTATATATTTCTATCCTTACTGAAATTAGTATGCTAAGAATTTGTGCTCTGCACCAATTTCTTAAAAGATTCCAACTCTGTGTGAATGATTATTGCGAATTTGAGAGCCTCTGCAAGCGACATGTGCAAGAATTACAATGTGCAACCGGCTATGGGAAAAAGCTTCTTGATGAACTCAGAGGGAACCTTATCGAATTCGAATGGAACGACTAACTACATGCAATTCATTGCCAACTCCTTAGTTTTTTCTTCTTTTCGGGACCCTTTCTCTTTCTTAGATTTTTTTCATGCGCTATATAATCCTATATGCCTGATTCTATGAAATGTGAAACGAGAAATGTTATGGTACTGACATTTTCTTTTTGGTTATCGCAGAGTCTGACGATAACATTGAATTGAACCAGGGTTTGTTCGTCGTACTTTTTCGCATAGCTGATTATTCCCTTTTCCCTCGCCTTATTCTTTAGATCATCTTGTTGACATCTACAATCAGTTGTGACAATAAGTGAATCGGCTAGTTAGTGATTGTCCACTTGAAGTTAACCTCAGAAACACTGTTGAAATTGTGCACACGTTGCGTGGCACTCTGTTTCTCTGCACTCTCACATAGTCTTTTCATTATACAGTAACTAGGAGAAGCAAGAAGTCCTTTTTAGTATGGAGATGCGAAGTTCAAATGTTATCAGTTTAATATTCTTTTCTAGATATGTATAGGACACAGGATTCGATATCATACCTGTCCTCATCAAAACATGTAATGGCAGTGATTTATTAATGGCGATCAATAGAATAAATATGAACTTTTAATGTCCAAAAATGATTCTGTCTTCATTATCACCTGACCACATTGGAAACGCTTCAATTGTTCCGGTTTTGATATCGTAATAAGAAAACACCTGATAATATCGGACAAGAGCTGACAAGGATGAGAACTGAAATAGGTCACAAATAAAAATAAGAGCATAGCTTGTTTTATTAGGAATCGCTACGGTACTTATGCCTTCTCTTAGAACTACAGTAATCTCCGAACCTCTTTTGCTTCCGTGTCACCGTATTCGACCCGCCAAAGCGTCGAGATGTCACCGTCCCCTTGCTTCGTTTTGCGACATGTGAGGGGAAAGTGAAATATCTTAATGACAGCAGTGTTCACTATTGTTCATAGACAATTCTAAGGAATAAGACATAAAATTTAGCCTTTAGCAATCTCTTAAGAAGAGATCAAGCATTTGACCGCATTCGTAAAATTTCAGGTCTGATTGAATACATATCTCGCTCATACAATGACTTTCGATAGCATGCCGGTGTGCCCTCAGTGTTCTTATCCTCCCAGAAAATTCTGGCTCTAATTTGCCTACTCTGTAGGGGATTTGAGACCTGTGAGAACTGGATAGAACTAACCATCTCCATATAATTCTTTTTACTTCTGTTCAGCAACTTTTCAACACTGTTCAGCACACAACACTTGGGTAGTCGGTAGTGTTAATACGATGCGTGGTATGTTTCTATGTGCTACTCTTATTCTCTCTCATTCGGGAGAGCGTTCCAAAACTTATCGGACCTCAATTGACATTGGGCAAGCTCACCAGACTACCTCAAACTTGGATAATTAGACTGCGGCGAACGAAATCTATCCGTGGCCATGTCGGCACGGAGGCGTATAAAATGATGGGCATAGCGTTCACGAATTAGTTGTTAATTTTTTTAATACGATATAAATTATCAGACTCAAGTCGTCTAAACAGAAAAATGTTGAACAGAAGTAGAAAGAATTATTCAATCAATGCCGAGGTCAATAGAAAGTCGGACTTGCGAGTTAGTACAAGATGTACCATCTCCATATATTCCAGTACACCCTTAACTGCTGGCCTGCACGCGTGTTTATCAGCAATCATACCAGAAAAATTCTCAGCATTTCGTCATCTATTAGAACGTCGTCGAATCGGTAGTTTTAATCTTGAACGTATTTCATTCACGAAAAGGAAGACCGATGAGCGATGAAACGTTATGACTGCACTTTTTCATACGTTAATATTTTGCCGTTTATTCTTTAATCTTTAATCATATCAAAGAAAAAAGGATAGAGCTCTCGGCGTTGATCGATCCCTGAGGGATGCGCCATGCATTCGACTTCATCGAGCATCGATTGGAAGTGATTGAATGCATATCTGGCCTTTACAATGACTCGCGGTGACCTTCCGCTGTATCGAGCCAGTGCTGCTATCCTCCCGGACAAGTCTGCTACCAATTCGCCGACTCCATAGGGATGGAAAACTTGGTGGGCCATGGACACGGGGATCTATTCCACGTGTGTTGTAGGACGCCTCCGACCACTGCGCCACATGCGACCTCTAATCGTATTAACTATAACAAGTCGTTTTCGACTTTTCCAAGCTGTTCGTAAGCTTCTTTGATTCACATATTTTACATGTTCTTATGCTCCATGCGGTAGCACTACTGTAATCTTCTGTGAGAATGCACCGAAACTTTTCTACGTTCGCTAACAAAACCACTTACAACGTTCTGATGATTTCTATAAGCCATATAGAGAAATACACGATCGCTAATTCGTTCTTCAATTCTATAATAGAGCACAAACGACGATGGTCGTACTCGTTTCGCTGCCTGAAATCCACTAAGTTCCCGTCCGAAAACAATTCGACAACACCAGTGGCTGGTTTATGTTTCATTTCTCTTACATCTTAGTTGTTCTTTCCACTTAATATCTACTGCTTTAGAGAATGCAGCAATGACTGAAATTAGAGATCCATTCCATACTATAATACAGGTTCATCAACTTTTCTTGGTATAATGTTGTCATACTTTGCTAGATCTTTTCGCTTACGCTGATCGATGGATGGAGGGCATTTATGCTAACAAGCATAAAGGGTATTCCGGTTGCTGGAAATCAACCGCTGCTCTTACACAACTCGCTTAATTGTGGTTATAAAATTCAATGTGACATGGTGTCGTTATTGATAGTAATAAAAATGCGGTGATTATGCTGACGACGATGGTGAAGATAATGATGGTTATGAAGTCAACGATGACGACATGAATAAGGGTAATGTGGTCGATTGTCACATGGTTGACCATGAAGCGTATGATGATGATGACGTGGATGATGGCGATAATGATGTTCATGAAGGTAATAATATTAGTGAGGATGATGATGACGACAAATGTGAAGAAGACAATGTTGATGTGGGTGATGTTCGCATTGATGGTGTTGAGAGTAATGATGGTAATGATGATGATTCGTGGTGATTTTCACAACACTGATAATGATAAGGGTCAAAGCCATGATGAGGTGGACTGATGGTGATGGCGAAAATGAAGCTGATGAGTAGCTGGTAATACCATAGTAATACTTACTTGATACTTGGTTGCTTGAATTGCCCGCCCTCACTGGTTGTGAGGGCCCCAGCATAATCTCCATTTTTCAGGGATTTGCCGGTTAACCCATTGTGGTTCCCTGGAATCCCGACGTCAGCCTGGTCAAAGTCTGCCCCAGGTCCTCACCACCACGGGCAGTCGTCGCCCTTGTGGATCAGAAGGAGATTTGCCACCATGTGACTTTGATACCAGCACGGTGGTGGATCCTGGTATTGATTTACTCTTAGCTAGGCTTCTTGATTGAAACGCTGGACTCCTTCTCAGCTTAGGAGACCCTGCTAGGCAAACGAACACGCCCGCTGTAGAAGAACCGCTATTATAAAAGTTATGATAGTGATAATGCCGGTGATGATGGTCATGAAAACAATGACACTGATGATTGTAACGATCATGATAGCAATGAATGAAAATAACACCTGCTTAGCTGTGGCACCACCAATAAACACTGCCTCCACTTCTCGATCCGGTGGACGACACTGCAAAAATCTTTGGCTACGTTACGACAAAAAACCGGTTTCTATTATCATTTACGAAGTATGTGATGAAAAAAACTTACGAGCTCAGTGTTGCTTCCACTAGTACATTTGAAACACATATCACTACATGTTGAAGGTGCAGGAGAAATTAGGGGTACCTACGAATATCAGTTATCTAGTGAACATAAATGAAAGTTGTCATTGTTTAAAAAATACTACAACCATATCTGGAGGAGTTTTAAGGAATTCTTCAAATTCAATCTTTGAACGTGGTTTTCGCTCCGGCCAAATCAATCGCTTTTCTTTGTTCACCTGCGATGCTCGTTTTTTAACGTGCTTTCTTTAATTCATAACTAGCAACTGTAGGTAAAATGAGTGAAATGTTACTGCTAATGTGCTAAAGACAATGAATATATCTATGGCAAAATCACTTAGAGAAGGCAACTACGTTTAAGTACGTCGTAGCTGTTGTTGACGTTTATGGTTTGAGTTCCAGAAATTATAGAACAAAGTTTAAAAATACCGCAACTACATTTGCTTTATTGCGAAGTATGACATCAACGATGCTGAGATATTGGCAAAACTCCGGACCGCAGATGTCTGCGGTGAGGAACGAACGCGAACTTGTCAGCGTGATTGCTGATGGCACTGATCGATAGAACTCACTGAGAGACAAGCGAGACGAAAGATCCGAATGGTGTGGTGGTGAACGCGTTAACCCCTGGAAAGAGTAATAGCGCGTTCGTTCCACACCGCAGACACCTGCGGTTCGGAGTTCTGCAAATATCTCGGCATCATTGAAATTACATTTCGCAGTATACCCTGCAGTTAAAGAGAGTAGGAAGTAAATAATAAGTTTAAATCAAATTTGGTTTTTTTTGATAAACGTCGTTGGTAAAGCCAGAAATGAGACTAGCTATCAATGTCATCGATTTCTGGTTTCTTGCTACGACTTTACTTGTAACAACGTTAGATTTGAAATCAGGAGAGGTTTTTCCAGCGTACTTCATCTGCTTCCGAATATGTTCGATTATGTCAAAGCGTATCGAAGGAAAAAACTTTGTATGAAAAATGAACATTTACCAACCAGTCGACCGAATCGATCCTCCTCAACACTGTAATCAGGTGCCGTATCGTATTTATCAAAAGGTATTAAACGGCGTCTTCTAGAAAACAACTACTATGAGGTGTTCTTCTGAACTATTTTGTTGTTATATAAGTTTTGTTTGGAAAGCGTAAAAGAGTTCGGTGTTAGTAAATCTCTTAGAGATGCGTCATGCATTCAACTGTATTCGTACCATCTCAGAATTCGTTGAACCCATATTTGGACTACCGAATGACTAGCGGATGCCCCACTATACACGTTATGAGGTTTTTGCTCCAAGGCAACTCTGGTACCAATCAGCCGACCTTGAATGGATGGTTGGCTGAGATGGGGCGCTAGGTCGAATTAGTGACTTTGTATATATTGCAGAGCGTCTCTAACTAGTTTTTTGAACTATTTTCAAATGACAACTACAGAGGAAGAAAATTCTCTCAAACTCACGACTTGTGACTTCTTCTACGACTCTTTACACTGGTCATGGTACTGAAATCCAATCGCCCAGTTTTCACAAAAACGTAGTAGAAAATGAAACACCACGATTAATAACGTGATCAGTTCAGCCGACCAACCACAGCAATAGCCTCAACAACTGTTCTCGTCATTGTATATGATAATGCAGTATCAGAAAGTATCTGTGTTACTTGTTCACTCATCATGTAGTGTATCATATTTGCTTCATTTTGTTCGTCAGTAGATATCGATAATTCATCATTTCTTTTTTCTTCAATTATTCCTCCTAAAGGTTCATCGTCTCATCGTAACAGGGAGATGTTCCTGGGTGTCGGATCGCGATGTGCAGCAGGTTCATTCAAATTCAGTTTTTATCCCTTCCGCAGGACCTCTGAGAAAGTGTCCGACGTATCCATCTAGAAGTCTAGCTGAGAGTAAGCCAATACCACGAATTATCACCGTCTTGATATCAAACTAGTGGCATGGTGGTAAATCTCCCTCTGATCCATAAGGGTGGCGAATGTATGGAGTGATGACGACCTGAGAACAGCTCTAGTCATGCTGACACGGAGAATCCAGAGAACTAGAATGGCTAAAGCGGTAAATAACCAGCCTCAGTTCCTGGCACATAGGCTGCTCTCGTCAACAACGTCGTGCAGTGAGATAACAGTTGAGAGGCGATCAACGCTTGGGTTGCAATAGAACGTCACTGGAAAGGGACAAAACAAGCACACCCGCGACACTCAACTTTAACTGCTTCTTGTTCGTCTCTTCGGACGCGGACTTTGCTTTTCTTGTGGCAGGTAATCAATCAAAATTCCACGCAATCGCCCAACAAATGTTGAAAAACAGGGAGACCAACATATGCCAGTTGGGTCAATGAAGGAACCCTCGTCATTCGTGAAGAAAAATTTCCGTTACGAAATGTCGGATGGTTGGCTTTACTGCACACCGCTATATTTCCCACATAGTCACCTCATATGAAAACTTATCCCCTCGCTTGGACATTTCCTCGTCTCAAACTTCTACGTCAAGAAAAAATCAGCGCTATCAGCTACTAATCACCAACTTGTACAACTGACGATAGCGCACCGAACGCGTTCTACAGGCCTTTGAAGGAAGTAATCCACGTCAAAAATCCTCCTATAAATTCACTGCAGACTTTAATGCCAAGTTAGAAACGGCCAACGGAAATGGATATAGGATTGGGAAACTCGGAATAGGAGAAGAGAAGGAGAATAGAAGCCAACTTGTAGGACTCTTCTCCGCAGAACGTCTCTTCCATTGAAATTCATTTTTCGAAAAGAGATAAAGTTGCTGATGAACATGGGAGACTCTTAACGACACAATTCTTGCGGAGATCAATCACATTCTCACGAGCCGACAATGGTGCCCCACTTTGACACCTCAACGGCACCTCGATTCTGTACTGGATTTGATCACTGCTTTCTCTGTGCCAGGATTAGATCCAGCCATAAGCTGGAGAATAACTCCTGTCATCGTTCAACAAAACGGAAGAAGTCGTGTATGATAAGGTTCTTCTCAACAAATTCGTCCTCTGCATTTTGAAGAACTCAAAATTTGCGCCTCACCTCAGTTTCTCACAAGTTCAGACGGCATCTCAATTACCACTAACTAGTTGCTCGAACAGAGAAAGACAATGAAGCTTAGTTCCCTTGCAACACGCGTAACACGACTGATAATAATTGCCAGCTGTAGAAGATCTTTGCATAAGGATTGAAGTCGCTAAAAGAAGAGAAAGTTGTTGGAAGCGGCTGAAAAACAACACAGTCTGAATAAGTACCGTCGGGATTTTTGGACCATAATGCATGACTATCCCACCTGATAAACGAGGCCGAGGCTCACAAAATACTCTGCCATGAAGGAAAAATAGACTAAACATTGTGGTTTCGACCGCAGACTCAACTTAAGTGGGTTTTATGTTCAAGGCCAATTTGTGCCCTCCGGATCACTCCCGCTGAATGGTGAATGCTGATGGCACCATTGGGCAAAAAAAAAATCCCCGAGAGAAAGGCAAAGCTAAGGCTTTAGTGCTGCAATTGGTAAACGTGAGTTCCCGGGAATCGCGGTTCGATTTGGATTGAGGCCCGAGTTGCAAATGTGCCAAAATAATAGACAAAAAGTTGGACCTTGCACGGTCAATGGACATGAAGATCAACATGAAGGAGGAATTGGATAGAAGCAAAAGAGCAGCATGGGCTACATTCGGGCCTCTCAAAACAGTCACTGACCAAATAACAATAGCAGATCAAGAACTCTGTACAGTCACTTTTTCTACTCAGTAGTCCTCTCTGAGCTCTCTTATGAAGCAGAGACGTAGGCTGATACTTCAACCGTATGAAGAAGTCTGCGCACCACACAACAAGCGGTTATACCATGCCTCCCGAAATTTAATTAGTTCTCACCACGTCTAATCAGAATGAGCATCCCAGATATTCGAAACTTGTTCCACCTTCGGGATCCATACAGACATACATCGATTACGCGACACAAATAGGTTGATCACATAGAAATAAGAACAGATGACAGATGGACAAAAAGAAAATTGGAGAGGAGTTCAAGAGAATGCAAGCGTCCTCTTTGAAGACCATATAAACGATGGGTGGACGTGTTCGCAGCTAACGTCAACCATCTGCATTCGTGGATAGAAACACTTCTAGGAATGAATTCGAAATGGGCCTCACGAAGGTCACCATGTTCGAAGCAGGTAACCAACGGAAAATGAATTGAAATAATACCGTAGTCCTCAGATGGACCATTTAAGTAAGTAAGGTAACTCTCATCGTAGATCCTTCACTAACAATTATAATACAATGCTAACGCCATTCACCCGAAGCATTTCTGGGTGGTTTTGATAAAAGTGATGTTTTTAGAAATGGACTTTCATCCCAGAACAAACACTCAGTTGAACAAAGCAGCAATTCTACAGTTTATTACGAAAAGCAAAACAAAAACAAGAAAAGTACGAAAAACACATTGAACTACCAACGGAAAATGCACACCGAAAAAAGCAGTTGTGTACACCGTCAAAAAACACAGGAAGTAGAACACGGCAACAGAGTAGCAGTTCAAAAAGAGTAACTGAAAGAGTAAATCGTGAAGACTCCTAGTGATAAAGAAGACTTGTCTCGTCGATCGATAGATCGAAGCCTGACACTGAAGCAGTGTTCCCGAAAATATCCTGAAATCAAGAAAGACAAATCTGTAAACGATAATCGAAAGCTGGAAAGAAACTGTTCACTGCATTTTCAGAGGTTTCAGAACTTCTTCAGAGATATTCAAAACGTAACATCGTCTGAGATATTCGAAACTATTCGAAATTATTCGAATAGCCGTTATTAACTTAACTCGGTCGTCATGTCACCATCTACTCACCTGACTGAGCCGTTCAAAAAGATTCTTAATGGGATTCGTTTCGTAATCATCGAAAACAGATCCGTCATTTTTATGAATCGGTGCTGGTGGTGGTGATGATGATTCGGAAGACGTTTCTGTGCACGTAGACCCGATAGAAGTAGAAAATTCAGCCGAGATAGATAGGTCAACAGTGTTCTGAAATATACTAGATGCCATTGAATTGCCATGAACTACCATATGGCGAATCCTAGGGCCAACTTTCGCTCAAACTTGGCTTTAATAAAGAATTCATTTCCTTCACAAGCAGAAACGAGGTCGTTATTACAGTATTTATTCATTCACAATGGCTGATGTCTCGACGGTCTCGCCTTCTTCGGAGGCTGGCAAAGTAAAGTTAACATGCAATCCATTCAGCCAGACACTTTCACAACCTCAGCAGATGAATCTTAATACATGACTTTTCGATTGTCGTTCCACTTTCATTTTCATAACAAAAAACATTTTCGACGAGAATCTCTGTACGAAGTGTTATCTGCTGATATTACTAAAATATTTGGCGGTGTAGAATGCGCGTCAATTTAACCTTTTCAAGTTCTGAAGAAGGGAAAACAACCGGAACATCAGCTATTATAAATGAAAAATCCTGTAACAACGATCTCGTATTCGCTCGTCAAGGAAACAGTGAATTACTGGATAATAAGGTGCAACCTTTTCCAATGAAAGAAAGAGGAATTCCGACCTGCTCGGTCTCATTCACTTCGGCTGATCCTTCGTTAGTATTTTCTGATGGAATAGTCGATAGTTCCTTAGCACATGTGCCAAATAATGGAGTAAATACTTCAGGGCTGTACGACTGTGACAACAAGGATTCATCAAAACAAAGAGGATCGGTTGATGTGGACGAGGTATCAGACGGTGGAGGCGTGGGAACGGCGAACAGAATTTGTGCGAGACACGGTGACGTAATCGATGAGTAGGCATGACTTCGGAGATTTCGTGGAGTGAAAGGAACTGATGGCGTCGGACTAATAAGAAATTGAGTAGAAGGCGATGTAGTATCATTTTTTAAAGGGGCACAACGATTTGACAACGTATGCGGAGGCGGAACCGGAGGGCTACGGTAGAATGACTCTTTGTGGTATTGAATGGAAATCGATGTATTGTCTTTCACTACGGAGTGTGAAATGCCTAAATAATCAAGATATTCCCGAGAGTATATAAAAATTGCTAAAATTGTTGTTGAACTCACTGTAATCTGGAACGGGTTGCGAACTAGGCATTTTAACGGCACCACATCTTTCAAATGGAAAGTGTGGTGGAACATCACGTGGCATAGCATTGTGTGGAATAAATGGAATTCTGAAAGACACCAGATGAGAAATTTGTTTTAAAAACAAAAAATAAAGAAGTACTAGCAGAAATCGTTATTTCCAATCTGACTTCTAGCGTGTGTTGGTAAGTTACGAGAATATCCCACTGCTGATTTAATCGATGAAGAGCCCGAACCACGTTTTAGAAGGGGAACTTTTTAAAAGCCCCCACTCTAGTGGTGATGTGCTTTTGTTTTTTTTACTCCTGCAATAAACGACTTACCCGTGGCCTTTGTAACTGGGAAAAAACGAGTATTCTCCTTGTTTGATACGTTTCCATAGACGATTACCGGCTATAGTGATTTGCTCGCAAGCCTGTAGTGCTCTCGACACATTCGTAAAATTCATCTGCGAAAAAATGGATAAAATCAAGAACTAATCGATACCACTGAAATCAACAAGGTAAGCTATCAAGGACAAAACCTGAGTTCTCATGGCTATGTTGTAAGACTCGGTGAATTTTCTTGTATCCCATATTCGTACACCAAACGGTCCACCGTACCACGAGCAAAGATTTTCGTTGCGAGAATTCGATAGAAGGTGAAGAATAAAACGAAGCAATGGTGATGCACAACATTCTGAAATGTTCACACGAGCAGAGAGAGGAAAAATTGTTAATGTGGAAATTAAACAATAGGTGGTAGAAGGTTAGTCGGAAGTAGAAGTGTAGAAGGAATCACCGCAGTGGAAATTACTGAGTGCAAAAATTTAAACATGCCGTAAAGATTACATTAAGCAAAAATCGATTTTTAGCTTAACAGCAAAACGTTACATAGTAATAGAAAAAATGGTAAAGCTCTCGGCGTTGGTCAATCCCTGAGGGATGCGCCATGCATTCGACTTCATTAAGCATTGTATCGAGGTGATTGAGTGCGTGTCTAGCCTTTACAGTGACTTGCGGTGGTCTATCGATGTATCGAGCCAGTGTTGCTATCCTACCAGACAAATCTGATACCAATTTACCGACTCCGGAGAGATAGAAGGCTTGGTGGGCCATGGGCGCGGGGAGCGATTCCATGTGTGTGTTAGATGGCGCCTCCAACCACCAATAATATAATAAAACAGCAGAAGCTAGAATCACTCAGCATGCATTGAAATCAACTCACTTCGCAAGAATCTCACTTTCTCATCACTTGACAGGACAGTAGGGACGTAGTCGTCGTTTTGACAATGTCCTAAGACGCGAAATTTTCCAAAAAAATTTTATCCTTATTATATTTTTATGCTAGAAATTAAACAACACAACTACTAACCAAAAATAGAGGCATACTAGGAAATATCGAAAGCGGACCAACCTAATACACTTGTCCTTCGAGTCCGACTTCTCGTATCAATTTCTTGAACACCGCCTTTCTGAATCGCGTTTATATTGTTGCCACCAACGGGGATTGGAAAATTCTAGACATTAAAATGTCCTTCTATTTGATTTAAAATTACTTGTTATAAAGTTGATACTTTCTATTCGATGCAAAGAGTAATCCATAATTGGGTAATCCATAGATGAAAAGCTTCGAACTCAGAAAAAAGCGCTGAGATGGACAAAACGGAAATCTTTGATTTCCAATAAGTTGAAAAAGTGGCACGCTTTCGTAATGTCGGTAAAACTCACTCCTGAATTTGTTGCAGTTGAAAGGAAGCAGTTCGGTTTACGGCAGATTCGATTCATTCGTCTTTGAAAGGGATTCGAAATCAGTAACTCGTTTCAGAGACTTTTTATACGAGTTCATGTTGCCTATTGAGAAATTTCTCATGCTCGCACCAACTTCGACCACTGTCATATCTACCTTAGGGCTCCGGGAGCGAGTGTATTTGACCGCTGGTGTCTGTTCCATAGATAAGGTGTGAGCGACACCCACCTGATCGCCAAGGTTTTCTCGTGTGAAAACACACCGTACGCCATTACTGGTTATCAACCACAGACGGAGGTCACACGGATGAACGAACATGGGAAAATAACAGAATTACATGTTATACGTCACACATTGGTGTTGAGTACACTTTCTTAAAAATGAGAGAGTGAAAACATCAAACTTCAATACTCCTATGGTTTCACTCATCTTCTCGTAGTTCTTTGGTAAGAAGTTCTCAACGATAATGGGGAGTAAAACAGCGATAAGCAATCGAGTTTCATAGAATGTTAAGTGCATGAATTGAAAAGCATGGGTCAGTGAGCCGGAATTCTTTACGAAGATGCTAGAAGAAGAATGCGGTCCTCTTCAAATTTTTCGGAAAGAACAGAATCAGCTAGGCCAATCATGGAGAACACAGATGATGTAACTGTTGTCACATAGAAAGCAAAGCCTAACCTAAATCTTTCGGTCGCCTTTGAAGCCCTCACTTTCAACAAGTTTTCTTTTATTTTAATTCGCACTTAGTTCCACCAATGTTGTAAAAACTTCTAATAATTCTATTGTAGCACTTATCACCGCCTAATTGAACCCGAATATCCTTTAATCTAGATCTTTTGGTCTAGAGAATTCGGTAACGATAATCGAAATACCGCAGAGTAATCTAAGGCGCCAGCTAGTTCGTAACCCTATACGATCGTTTATGTGCAACCCAAAATTGCATAATTTGTCCTAATGGTAGAGACGGTGACTGCATGAGTTCGGGTACAGTCTATCTGATCTCTTGTAAAGCGTGCGGGGACGAATACGTTGGCGAAACGGGTAGACCACTCTGCGTACGTATAAAAGAACACCTAGTCGGCAAACGTAAGTCAAGTACTCCACTAGGTACGCATAGCACGCAGAAATATAACGGAGAAGATTTTGAAGTAAGGGTTACGATCCTCGCGCAAGAATCGAGAACACAAGCGCGCATAACTCTAGAGGCATTCTGGATAAATTCCAAGAATCCGAAAATGAACCGCAGGGAGGAATGCCTTGTTATCACGCGTGATATTGGACAGTATATAAACCTGTTATTCTGATGGGTGGGGGGGCACATTACGCTTCCATGTGAATTCTGTGCGGTCGGCCTTCACGCGACATAGTCATTGGAAGACTCATAGAAAGCGGTGAGTGTGCAGAGCTATGCTAAATGTAATTGAAATCTTGGTTTAGCGTTTTCTCTGTTTGGTTATGGAGGTGTTTGGCCGGATGGATTGCTGTCAAGTTGACCCTTCCAGGCTCTGAGGAAGCCGAAATCCGCCGAAACGTCAGCTTGTGCGTAAATAAAGAAATAAAATAGCACCTCGTGTTTGCTGAACAGAAGTAGAAAGATTCATCTTTAAGTTGGTTTCATAGGTAAATGCACCAGATTGAAGGAGGTTTTCATGCAAAGTGGGTTTATGGCCCACTCCGACAAATATCCCATGATAACGAATAATAAGGATCAAACAGTGATTTGAAACATCAGTAGGATTCGCAAGTGATTGGATACTACAGATATGAATTTAGTTATCTTTAGTCATTCCTACGACGCCATGAATAGACTCTGGAGCTCTTCATATAGAATGACGAAAAAAAAACAAATAAAGCGAAAAAAAACGACAAAGAATCATAGGAAACATAACAATAATAACAGGAATAACAGGAATAGGAAACTAGATAAATCAATCGACACCGAGAGCTTCAACCTTTGCCCGTTTATCTACCAAATCACTACACAGTGCCTTCCATAGGAGCGTCATACGACTTGCTCATGGGTACTCCCTGATCTAGCATAGCAAAAAATTATAGGATCTCATACGAAAAGCATAATGCATGTCGGATTCTTGTTTCAAGACCAACTTTGCGTCCATGGAGCTACACAAGAACGAATGGAGACTTCCAGTGGATCCTCATCAGAATTCAATCAATCGATACTGCACACGAACACAAACGATTACAAGTGAATACCACACAAACTGAATACCACTATTTTTTACACGACCCATCCTCAGTTATATTGTGTGGTCCCCATCCTTACTCCATTCGATTCGTGTCCTCGGATCAATCATTCACGGAAGTCTTCGGATCTGCTTATGGGCTCGGCTTACAATTAAGACATTTCGGTTTTCCTTATGCACGTCGTCGAGTGCTGCTCGACTCGCTTACTCCTTTCCAGAAGCTGATCCTGGCTATGCCAGAGGGTCCCTCCACCTCGCGAACCCGAGAGAGCTCCCCAGGCACAGAAAAATTTGGCAACGAATCCTCCATCCAGTAGCTGTGAGAGGCTTTGTCGGGCTACGGCAGACTTGAATCAACGCTTTGAGCCTGCGGAACGGCATCACTGTCACTGCGTTAAGCGCTTCTCTCGTCTCACTTAGTGTTCTCTTACACTGTTAAAAGTCACTGTTTTCAACAATATTGTTTGCTGAACAAATTATAAAATAGTAACTTTCTTGGTACTTGGTTACTTATCTATTCCTATTCGCCCGCAATTGATTTGTGACGTAACATCTGTTTAAATTGCATCATCAGGCTTCCGTTGACCTAGTCGTTGTTTTTCTTTTCTTTTTATCTCATTCAATATAGTTAATGGTGAGCTGGAATAGTGCGGGCACTATTCTTGGCTATCAGCTGATTAGCATGAACTGGTTATATGCAGTGTACACTAAATCACGGCATTTCTTAGCACCATGTTCTCTTCCTGAATAACGCAGCGTCTTGTGTGGTGATCATCATTAAAGCCTGAGTAGACCGGACTTAATTCTTATTCATTTAAATCTCATAGTAATTCTAGGATGGCGGGTATTCACAAATTGCGCTGGTCCTGTTGATTGGCACATCTATGACCGAGGTGATCTTTATCACACAAGACACTGAGATTGCTACATCATCAAGGTATTCCCATGATCAGAAACAGCCGTGGATTCATTTGCCAAGGAAAGGATTTCGGCAAGTATGGCGACACGTAACGACATAAGTTTATCTACAGTTGAGCTTACAGATTATGCTGTGAGACTTCAGAATGAACTTATCCTATTTGTCCTATTTGTGGACCAATCAACTGAAGCTCAAGCTTTATGTAACATTTATCTCATTACGGTTAGAGGGAGGCCACTGGATAACGAATCATATCATAGTGTTCGCTACTACTTCAAATATATATATATATATATATATATATATATATATGTATAATGTACCATAAAAAGGCGCGTGTGGCGCAGGGTAGGAGGTGCCCAGCGACACGCACGTGGAATCGATCCCCGCGCCTATAGCCTACCGAGCCTTCCATCCCTCCGGTGTCGGCAAATTGGCATCAGACTTGTCTAGGAGGATAGCAGCACTAGGTAGATACATCGGTAGGCCACGGCGAGTCATTATAAAAGCCAGATATTCATCCAGTGACCTCCAACGATACTTAATGAAGTCGAATGCATGGCGCATCGCTTAGGGATTGATCAACGCCGAGAGCTTTATCTTTTACTTTTTTATTTATTGTAGACCTGACCTACGAAATCTGTAATAAATATTTCCATTAATTAAACGTTTTCTTATGTTGTCATTAACAGTGGCAAAAATTTGTTAAGGGAAAAATGGTGATGAGTACCTACAAAACCTTCTACAAGGTGTGAAAATTAAATATCAAGCTCTCCATTAAGGTTACGATCTGTTAGTGTCCCTCCTCAAGCCCTAGCTAAGGTGACTTCCACAGTCGATTCATTAACCGTAGCGAACTAAACCTTACGCCAGCTACTTCTTGTGAAATCGCTAAGCTTGTAAGAATACAGTCACTCCTTTCCTCTTTGCCAGGTCAACTGAAAAACTGTTTTCGATATTATATTATATTAAGCGCCTCAAATAGTTTACAACCAAGCTTCAATGGGATCGTGGTGATTTTCGATGTCATAATGTAGGGCGCAGGTTGAGAAGTTCGGCATTCCTGTCCCAGAAGCCGAGCTAGGAGCAAACCTTTGCCACAGCATATCCCAGCAATCTAATCGTAGACATCTCAGTAACAATAGTAAAAGCAGCGGTCCCCATAGCAAAAGTTTGGTGCTCTATATATCGCTCGGAGGATTAGAGCAGATCTGATGTGTCACAAAACAAGACTAACGGCACTTTCTCTAGTTACTCGTTCGCTGTTCGAAGGGTGAATTGGTGGTTCAGGTACTATGAAGAACCTTACAATGTTTGTCCAATAGGAAAACATCCAAATGGTTAAATATACGATTTCAGAAGTTAGTAAACGAATAAACGAATAGGAGAGTAATAATTAGCTCTACCCTTAAACACACTAGGAGATACACACTGAAATATTAACTGTATCTGGACCATAATACATCACTTAATGTTAGTACAATTTGCTAGTTTCCTCTTTGTTCTTTTCCTAGTTTTAGGGTAGATGTTGCACATTGATTAGAAGTACCCTGCAATATACATACGGTCACTGGTTCAATTCTGCGCCCAGGATAAACCAAGGCTTTCATCCCGTGGGATGGGTAAATTGGTGCCACACTTATCTGGGAGGATAATAGCAATTATTTCATGCATCGAGATTCCCAGAAAATCATTTTGTCGGACAAAATATGCACATTACCACCTCCATGACATCTGAATTGAGTTGGATGTGTGACGCATCCGTAAAGGATAGATCAATATCTTACAGTTTGTCCTTAATCATTTATATCTCTATCTTCACATGTATCACCGGTCTGGCCACTGATCACCGAGTGAATCGAGCAGGTGCTAGCAAACCTTCCATTTCTCGCCGTCACTTGAAGGGGTGCCCAGTGGGCTCTCCTCGCTCCGTGGACTTGTTCAGCATTTCTATCTCAGAACCAACATCGTAAAAAGTGAACTCGATACTATTCGATCCGAATATTTTCTATGCTCTAACAGATACTGTAAAGTTGATCTCGCACCGATGACGTCAAGGGTCGGGAAAGAGCACAGCACTACAACGCCCCCGTTTAGAGCGCCCAGTCCCAGTCCGCGCCGGCTCAGACCACCCCATCGATTTTTCTCTAGTGGGTGGACATCATCCCTATCATCGCCAGTTGACAGTAAATAGAGAATCTCCCACATGGACTCTCGTTCGTTTGTTTTGGGGATTATTATGTTTTGTAATTCAATTCGAATTCTTTTCCCTCTAGAGTGCTTCCGTTACAAATTTCGGTTTCATTTTCTGCAGACAATGCTGGTTTTCTTGTCCAGTTGTGACTTCTGTTCTCAGGGGAAAATGTCTTTCATAATATTTGTTGGTCGTCCACTATATGAAATTGTAGTGTAAATCACCAATAAAAGGCAAAACAACACTCATTTCTAACGTAGTGTTACGTACCACTGTAACAAAATCGGCGTCGTTCACATCAATAACTGAACGGCTCCTTGTCGCCTCATGGACTATGCGCATCGATTTGCTCGAGAAATCCATACAGAAAGCTTGTTGGATCGATTTCTCCCGGTCTACTCAAAACGCTGTCCAACGGACTTCTCCCTGTTCTCTCGAAAACGTGCGATTGCTTTTCTCAGCTGTGTTTGGATCAGATTATTCGTAGCAGGAAGATATTCTAATACACTTTTGTGTTTCACACATAGAATTCTCCGTCTCCTTATGGCTTTTCATCTTCGGAAATCTCATGTATAAATTCTGCTCACTGGTTGTAACTTCTGTTTAGTGCTGCTGCCTATTCTTTTCTCATGGTAGGGTATGATATGAAATACAACCATAAGGATGCTGAGGTATGAGCAAAACTCGGAACCTCAGTTGGGCTTTGAACCCGCAATTACTCGTACCGGGGACTCAAGTGCTAAACATAGCTGAGAGAAAGACAAAGCAAGGGACACGGATAGTGTGGTGGCTAACATGTGAGCTCCGGGAACGCAGAATCGTGGGTTAGAAGCTCACTCGAGGTTTCACATTCTGCTCATATTTCAGTATCGTTATGATTCCATTCACTGGGTTTGTAAATTTATGCTTGACATGAGTACTTTATAGTTGCCAAGAACTAATGGTCAGAAAGTTTAAACGAGATCTTACACTCTCGACTTCATCGATGCGGTTGGCTATTTGATTTCAAGACGAACCCTCAGCCCTCTGTTGCAAAACAATGCACTTTTCTATGTTAAACGAAGTAAGAATGAAGAATAAAGTTCTTGACTCTAGTCACTCTTTTGGCTGTCGGGTATGCATTCGAGTCCATTTGTAGTATCGAAGAGAGCTCTTAGTGTACGTTAAGCCTATACAATAACTTATGGCGGAGTTTCAACTTATCAAAGCAGTTGTTTTTATCGTTCCGGAGAAGTCTGCAACCAATTCGCCGACTCCGGATGTATAGATGGGTTGGATTGTCCGAGGCACGGAATCGTACCAATGATCACGTGTGTATTGCAGTGCACCTCAACCACCGTGCTACATGATCCTGTTAAATGAGGATTTTATGTGAAAATAAAATAGATTTTTTTGCAAGGAGGATCGTTCCCGTTGTTTGAGTCGCTAACCAGTCAAGAGAGCTCACTTGACTACTGTGAATGAACTCACTCTAACACCACCATACGTGGACCAGATACCTGGATCGCCAAAAATAGTGATCATCGACAGAGAACCCACTGGACGGCTCTGATTAGCCACAGATATACATGGAGACTTCACCAATGTCCGCTTAGGTCATCAGGTTGTAGTAGGAGTGGAGATGACAGGAGATTAATGGGAGACACCATCATAATACTCGCTAGTGTTGGTCATTTCTGAAGAAAGGAGGTAGAAAAACGTCGGTCTTTATACACAGCGGCATTCAGAGTGATTGAATAAACTTGTGCAGACCATGAGAAATGTCAGAGATAACATTTCCTTCATCATCTTATAAGAGTTTCTCCAACAAGAAGAAGGTTCTTCCAAATTTCTCTCTTTGTTCGATTCATTTTTTCCAATATCCTACTATTTGTTCTAATGCTTATGGATTTCTCATTTATAGTGGTTCTCTTTGTTTCGATTTCAATCAATCTTTACAGGAAATCAGTCATGGCTCGTCCCCCACAGCTTGATAATTTATTGAAACTAGACAGCTGGTTGTACGACTTTCAACCGGAAATTTGCCGTCGATATGGAGTATTTCTGGAATTTCAAAAGAAAATTGAAGAGGTAACAGCTTACGAGGATTTGCTTAATATAAGTCTAAAATAAATTTACTAAATCAACACAGATTCTGAATTTTTTCTTTCCAGCTGTTGAAGAAAGTTTTCTGCATGACAAGAGGTCACCTGTACCACCCATCGTCCCCTTGATCGTCAAGTGACTCGAACGGGCGTCAGTAAATCGTCCATTTCTCCATGTAGCGAGTAAAAGTAGCCCAGAGAGTTCTGCTTGCTCTGGGGACTCGTGGACTTTCTTCTGGGGTTTCAGTGAAGAATTCTGACTATCGGCATAACGGTCCTCCGGCAGTATGTTCGATATCCCGAGGAATCTGGTCACTAACGGTTTTTGTCAGTTGATTGTCGTTCGTACGCATCACATATCCTGCCCACCTTATCTTCAACAGTTTGGCGTAAAGAACGGCGTATTTGACTTTTATTGCTTGACTTAGATTGGAGCTTCGAATCCCTTCCCTTACTTTCGTGATGCAGAAAACTCATAGGCTCATCCTTGTGACTGTGCGTTCAATGACATTGAGTGATCCTTCACTCTGCTTACGCAGCGACCAAGTTTCCGACGCATATGTTGAGGCTAGAAGTATCGTTGAGTCGAAAAGGTGGGCATGGAGTCGGGTGTTATCCTACTCCTTGATGCTCTTGAAAGCTCCTCAAGTCATTCGTTTCCTGAAAAGAGGTATTTAATCTGATGCATCATGTCAATATGCACATCGTTAATAGTTCAATCGCGGCCTAGGTCAACGAAGCATTTCATTCTTGTGAAGTTAGTTGGATGATAGCATATTCATCCACATGGAATAGAGCACGAACTTATCGATTAGTACATCCATTTAAATTTTTGTAAAAAGCAAATTTATAGCCAAAGGAATCAGCGATTTTACAAGTTGAACACGAAGATGTGACATCTGAAGGAGGTTCTCTTGCAAACGAACAGCCCAACAACTGCAAGCGTTCGTTTACTGTGAACTTTTCAGTGGTCATAACATTCTACCAAACTAGTGTTATTATAATATTCTGAATCTTTTTATCGAATTCAGTTTCATTTATAAATATGGGCCTTACTCTTACATCTAGATGGTTCGTGCTGACGTGACGTGCAGGTTCCGACATTGTTCCCATTAGTTTCATTGTCTTGCAGCTGTAATCCATAACGGTGGTGAGTATAACGAAATGTTCGAAAGCAGCTTGAGGTTTTGCCATCTTTCCTTCACATCGTGAATCGTGCGTGGTCAACAATGTTCTTCTCTGGAGCCCCGAAATATTCGTGTTAGTTCATACCCAGTTCTTTTTGCTACAAGCAATCGTAGCCATTGCTGGGCAAAGGGCAGTTCACTGTTTAACTACTCGGATCCTTCTAAGACGGACCCTTGTGATTAGTGTGTTGAGCGATCGCTTATATTATAAATACGAAAGTTATAAAACACTTACTATATATTATCCTCACTGTCATCACTTTCCGAATCAATCCATCGAGGAATTCATTTCCTATCCGTAATTGTGGATTATTTGTAATTTTACAAGAACCTGTTTGTGTGCCAGAAAGAACGTTGTTTTAGTGCGGTGGAATCGAACACTTCACTGAAGGTTACAAACACTTCGGTCTGATTGTACAGCCCGACAACTCGGTGCTCTGCCACGAGTGGGCTCCCGGAGCTGATCAACTAGCACTTATTGGCGACTTCAGTAAGAATATGACCTTGGTTTGAAAAAATGTGAGAAAAAACTGCAAAAGAAGCTTAGAAGTACATAATGTAATGGAAGTTGAAGGATTTTAAAGCAAAGAAATTATTGGTACTTGTTATAAAATGACAGCAATTCATGCTATAAAGCAACCGATGACAAAATCTCGAGTAAAGAAGGACCTGTTCGAGACCCGCTACCACAAAACTTCTCCAGTTACGGTATAGATCACTTCGTAGCATTCGATTATGACCTTTATTCTGATCGGAGCGCGATTAGTTGTTATTGTATAAGAAATCCGTCAGTGTTTCTGCGTCCTCATAAAACTGAACTGTTCACAGATGGCTGGAATCGTGAAACGCACAAGTACAAAAGAGAGGATTTCGGTAAATGGCGGCTTGTCGTTCCACCGAACCCCGATGGCTCTTGTGCGATTCCGCACTCTTCCATCGTTAAGGTTTGTATTTTCTAGCCTTCATAAAGAATTTTAAGGTTTAGAAACCGTTTTTTGATGGATTACAGCATTAAAAGCATCTCGTTTGCTCCCAAATGCATTCAACATGATGTAGCCAGAAAGTCGTATTTATGTGATGCATCTATTGTTTTCTGAATTTATACTTTGTTTAGTTTAGGAACCACAAATGTAACACAATGCATGGCCCTTTTTCCTGTTCCATTTTCCTCATTTTTCTTCCATTCTGTCCTAACAGTTATTTTTTGCTTTATAGATTGCTGTAACAAAGGATGGAAAAACAATGGACAAGCTGAGTCCGTGGGCGGCGTACGTCACACGACCAAAGGAGACAGTAGTCTATCACCAGGTTATCTTCCTTCTTCTTCATATTCACGTTCTTTGTTGTATTTATGACGGATATCCATGATACAAAGTATCCGGGTTTCATCTGTCGATTAGATGGTAGGAATCAAGAGATAGCCTTTATCTCACATTCTGTTTTGCTATCCTGTTGTTTTCCATATTGATTGATCGAAGTATGTTTACCGATTCGATGCTTTATGTGGCAGTTTTTAGACCAGCCTAAAGCGTTGTGCTTGATTTCAGCAGTTTTACAATCCTCCGGATAAGTATCAGCTCAGGCATCCTCGACCTCCAAGGCCAGCGTCGCTTCGCATTTATGAAGCTCATGTTGGAATTAGTAGTTGGGAGGGAAAAGTGAACACATACCGAGCGTTTGCCGATGATGTTATTCCTCGGATCGTCAAACAAGGTGGGTGGGAGTTTTTCAAGATGTTCGGTTGCTGTCGTGCTCGAATTTTGTCCATTTCATTTTCGAAAACCAACGTAAAACGTTATAAATATGGTTGCTTTCGAGTAATCAGTGTTATTATTTTTGTTACGATTTAAGTAACCCGTCGTCAAACCTGCTGTGCTGATTCCAGTACTTTTTGCGTTCGATTTGTTTTTCGCGAATTGATCGTCCGCAAAGGCCTTCAGACAATTCGCACTTTGTTTCGGATGCTGCTTGAGGGTCTCTTATTCTTTATGATTGTCGTAGAATGCTGGTCGAGTCGATTCTCCTTGCGGTTTTGTAGATAGTCGAGCTAAGGCGTTCCCATGTGTATTGAGAGAGGACATCGTTGGGATGAGGTTCAACCAGCGCTTTGCTTCCTGATAGACTGATAGACTGCATCGTGAACCTATCCACGATACATCCCATAGTCATTAATAAGTAGCAAGAATTACCTGCAGTTTCGTTGATGATGGACTAAGCTGGCTTCGCTAGGGTATCCGTTCGTGCCTCTCTCCTAGAAGACTTTCCCGTAGATTTTACGAATCTAAGGCGGATATAACTACGGCTTTCACGTCTGTATTTTTATTGTTTAAGTCTTATCTGTTTGAAGGGACAAATTGTTCTCTATGAATGTGTCGTTTTCTTGTTCAGCAATCGCGAGGTTTTTAAACAGCATACATTTACTTCCATAAAAACACAATACAATACAACGCTAGCTGACGTTTCTGCAGTATCGCCTTTTTCAGAGCCTGGAAGGGTATACTGATATACGATCTACTAGGCCAAACGCTTCAATAACACTTACAAAAAGACGAAAGACTCTTTGGTAATTACATGATCAACAACTTCTCGAAAAACCCACCGCTTTTTCGTGACTTCCAATGAGGAAGTTTAGAACAGCTGTTGCTCTATTGTTCTATGGGAACTATTGTTCTCTATATTAGAAGTCTTCAATTTAATCATGAAGGATACAATTCGCATATTCACGGAGCTATATACTCGTGAACCTATGAAAACAACTATTTGCATATAGTATATATATAAAGTACATATAGAAAGTATAACCCAGTTTAGTTTCGCAGAGGCACTAATTCCGTTTCTCAAATCACTTGTTACATGTTTATCATGGTTTTTCTTCGATATTTAAACACGTGTTTGCCAAATTGGGACTGCCTAGATTCTCGACCAGCCACACTTACGAGCCCTCACATAATGGAGATCTGTGGATTCATTCACATTAGATTTGTTTTCGCAGCGACTATGGGGATATATTTGCTGAAGTGGACTTAAATGTGTTCCATTTCGTTGTCTTCTGAAGTATTTGTTTATGTTCTAATGTAACTAACCTTGTTCTTTAGGGTATAACACTATCCAGCTAATGGCTGTTATGGAACACGTGTACTACGCATCTTTTGGTTACCAGGTCACTAGCTTTTTCGCACCTGCTAGGTTGGTGTTGCGTTTTTATTGTAGATTGTTCAGATCGGTTCGATTTTCGCATAACTAATCATTGTTTCGTAGATTTCAAATCTCCACCTAACGGTTTACCGCCTCATCGTGGCTGGAAGGTGTTCCTGGGTGTACAGCAGGGGATTCATCCCCTAGCAGGGCACTCCCAAGCTGAGGTGTCCGGCGTTTCCATCAGGAAGCCTAGCTAAGAATAAACCAATACCAGGATCCACTAGTGTCCTGGTGTCAAACTAGTGGCATGGTGGCAAATCTTCCTGTAATCCACAAGGGCAGCGACTGCCTGGAGTGATGACAACCTGGAGAAGACTTTGACTAGACTGACCTCGGCACTACAGGGTACCACAATGACTGAACCGGCAAAACTTCGAAAAAGTGTAAATTATGTTGGGACCCACATAACTTGCGAAAACGCGCCATCCAAGTGTCCAAGTAAGTCAGTAAGGTTTTAAATCCAAGCTAAAGAAGTGTAGTATCGGTTTCCAAAAAGGTCCGTTATTAAAGGCGGGAAAAAGCACGGGAAGGATTCTATTATTAGCCAAGATGTTTCAAAAAAAGTTAATTGACTGAAGCTTTGTATGTTTGTCTTAATTTTTTGTTAATTTCCAAATGTTACGTTAGTAACTGAGTGTTCTTTTTGCGCGTGTAGTGCAGTGCTCAAAGGTGTCCTGTTATACACACGTGGTCTTTGGTTCGACCACGCACACTGGACCCACCAAGCTTTACAACTTCTGGCGTTAGCAAGCCCTGACTTGATATATCAGTAGGCAAGGGTTGATCATTATGTAAACCAGATATGCATTCAATGACCACTTATCATCTTTGATCCTTGATGAAGTCACGCATTTCGCATTCCTTAGGGATTGGTCAGTGTCGGAACCTTAACCTGGAACCTTATTCTTTATTCTACACTCCTTCAACACTTTACAAAAGTTGCTATTTCTTTGTTGGCTTTTTAAAATTAATAATGGATAATGTTTTCTTACTGCAAATAATTCCAGTCGATGTGGTCCACCTGATGACGTCAAATATTTGGTAGATAAAGCGCATTCCATGGGTCTAACAATTCTTCTAGATGTGGTAGGTGCCAAATTTATAAATAAATCACTTAGAATTACTACATTGAGGTATAAATAGATAAATTAGATAATAGATAATAGATAATTTTTTGCTCATATTGTTGTGAAAGGGTTATCATTGTTAGTTTGAACCCTGTAGAGCTGTTCCCGTGCTTTTTTGAATCTTTGTCTACTTTGGTTGATATGATCTGGTTTTTTATTGTTTAGGTGCACTCACATGCGTCAAAAAACGTGGCGGATGGTCTGAATGAGTGGGACGGTACGGATAGCTGTTATTTCCATAGCGGCCCTCGTGGAACCCATACTTTATGGGACTCAAGACTTTTTGACTATACTCAGTAAGTCGATAATAGTAGCTGGTTATTGAATGTGCTCGTTATGAAGGCGAACAATTTTGTTCTCTCAGTTTGGAACCTGATTGTCTTTACACATCCTTGTAGCGTTGCGACTCTGTTTATCACTTAATATTTCAAACATTCATGCGTTTGCCAATCTATAATTTGGTTAGTTGTCATCGTACTTTTTTATTTTTATTTTTATATGACCCACCTTCACGTCTACAGTGCGGATCCCAGCACTTCCCACATTCGATTCGTTTTCTCTCATCCATCATTCACTGAGGTCTTCCAACTTTTACGTGTGACTTCGCTACTGGTTGAGGGTTTTCATTTCGTCTTGAATGTCGTAGAATGCTAGTTGGGTCGATTCTCTCTGGAGTCCTGAGATTGCTGGGCTGGAGCGTTCCTAATTGGAATGCATAGAGTGATTTTTTCCCGGAAAAGACCGGTATCAATCTCCCGACCCTGGAGAGATGAGAGGCTTGGTTGACCCGGAGCGGAATCGAAATAGCACCATGCTCATGACGGTCAACATCACAACCACTTACTATCCGCTCCGTACTATTTAACACAAAGGGATTAATAATTACTTTGCTTGTCCAAGCACAGTTTGTTTTGTTGCAGCAAAAAGTTGGACACTACTGATGCCAACCTGCTGGGTTACGGATTAAAAGCGCTTCCTTGTTCTGTTTTCCTTTCTATTTATTGTAGTTTGAAGACTTTAGATGATTCTTAGGTCATATCACCTTTAGCGTTTGTTCTATTTTTGTTTTTGTGTCCTGTTTCTAAGACGCGTTTTTAAAATGCATGTTTTAGATCATCGTATGTTAGGCATATCTTGGTTATATAACTAATTTTAGGATTGAAACTCTGCGCTTCTTGCTGTCAAACCTTCGGTGGTGGATTGAGGAATATGGATTCGACGGTTTCCGTTTCGATGGCGTCACCTCTATGATCTACCATTCACATGGGATGAGTAAGTGGACTACTTTGTATCTATGTCACTTTTACGGTTATTTCTTTCCTTCGATGTCAAAGTAATAGTTACTTTTAGACGATGATTTCGGTGGTGGATACCCAATGTACTTCGGTCTCAACGCTGATACGGACTCTCTTATATATCTTATGCTGGCTAATGATTTCTTGCACAAGAAGTATCCGCAGATAATAACTATTGCTGAGGTAGCTTTCGTGGAAATCATTTTGTACAGTCTTGTAGATAATGATGCTGACATTTTTTTTTCGTATGCCCATAACAGAGGTAGAAAAATAGGAGCGCGTGTAGCGCAGTGGTCGGAGGCGCCCTGCAATACACAGGGGATTGATCAATGCGCTCCAAGCCCACCAAGTATTCCATCACTCCGAGGTCGGCAAATAGGTACCAGACTAGTCTGAGAGGACCCCAGCACGGGCTCGAGACATCGGTAGGCCACCGCGATCATTGTGGCCACACATGCATGCATTCAATCACCTCCAACGATGCTTGATGAAATCGAATGCATGGCGCATCCCTTAGAGATTGATCAACGTCGAGAGCTTTATCTTTTATCCTTTTAATAGATTTCTAGTGGTTATAACCGTAACGAACTTTATGACATAACCTGTGCTTTACATATTGTGAAGTTTTAGGTAATCATTCTTAGTATTCGTCAAAAGTTTTCTATTATAGGAAGTGTCTGGTATGCCAGCACTGTGTCGTCCCGTTGCTGAAGGTGGACAGGGTTTTGATTACCGCCTAGCTATGGCATTACCCGACATGTGGATTAAAATTTTAAAACACATGAAAGATGAAGATTGGAGTATGAACGAAGTTGTGCATACTTTGGAAAATCGGCGGTTGGTTCTGGATTGATTGAGAGTTCTTCTTCACTGCTTTCAAATATTTGTTTTGGTACAGGTATGGAGAAGCAAACGTTGCATATGCTGAATCGCACGATCAAGCACTTGTTGGTGATAAAACCATCGCTTTTTGGCTTATGGATAAGGGTATTTGGTGCCAAATCTATAGTTACAATCATTTTTAAGCTTCGTTTATAATTATTTGTAATCTTTTCCATGGATTTATGTCTTTAGGTATAGGCAGTTTTAACATAATCTCCATAGTAACATAACAATTTCCATATCGTACCATTGTTATTTAAGGTAAAGTCTCTCTCCAGGTCTTTAGGGTTAAGTATTCAGTAGTTACATTTCCTTTCTTTTCGGTTGCTCTTATCATTAATATAATTAGAGATGTATGACTTCATGTCTATCACAACGTCGTTCACTCCGATTATCGAGAGGGGAATTGCGCTGCATAAAATGATTCGTCTGCTCACGATGGCACTTGGTGGAGAGGCGTGGCTTAATTTTATCGGTAAGATGTTTTCCTGTCTATTCGCCAGTAATTCCCATTCTAGCAAGGCTCTGGTAATTCTGCCCTTTCTCACCTCTCTCTGTCTTCTTCAAATGTTGGAGTGGTTTTACAAAACCCATTTCTACTTATGAAACCATATCTATATTCAATAATTGTGAGGAGCCAATGTTTCCTACAAATTTTCAAGTGTTTTTGTGGGATCCATGGAGTTCATGCAGGCATTTGAGTCATTTGAAAGGGGGTTTAATTGAGTCGCTTCTACCATTCTCAGTCCTAACTGCTCATTTCGATGGCACAATATGTTTTAGACCAATAATATTTTTCCTTCGAGTAGTAATGGACGAATCCATATGAGGATCCTTGCCCATGAATGGCAGTAGACATTTATGGAGAATAGTTAATTTCTAAGATTAGCTTTAATCGAGCGGTGATATTCGAGTTCTTCAGGTGTTTAGAGCTATATTTCCCTTCGAAGGCTACTTTTTAATGGATATTCTTCTAACTTCCTCGACTACTCATAGGAACTTCTCCACATTAAGAAAGCAGGCTAAGTTTTTTGTTGATAAGAAAAGTCGTAGATTTGGAAATCTCAAGGCACATCTTCTTTAGCCACCTTTTTACACCTATGAAATAGTCGCTAAACGTTTTTCAATTTGAAGGGAAAGTTGTGCGCTACAATATTGGCATTAAGTTTTTTATTGGTAGTGCGTTCACTTCTTCCGATTTCTTTCATCGGAGTTTCTGGTTTCATAGAACTATTCGCTAGACCACATTTCTGAAATACGTTCTTGGAGTCATTCCTTGGAGTTGGTTACAAGCAGGATAAATATATCATTGTATAAGACGCTCACCATTTGTTCGTTTGTTTGTTGCCGTTTTCTACCATAAAATCATTGATCGTATTCATCGTTCTGTAGTGTAATGTTTCTCATGGTGTTTACTACTGTTTGATCATTCAGTATCCGGGACAAAGTTGGGAGGTTGTCAATTTCTATTGGACTTTATCACTTTTACTCGCTGTGTACAACTACGTTGTTTTTGTTAATCCAGTACTAGTCGTCATCCCTTCATCCTTTCGTCATTGTAGAATCTTGTTGAGGTCCAGGACATGGAGATGGAATTTGATTTCTTCCTCTTATATTTTTTTGTATTTCGATTGTCTGTGTTTACAAACATTTAAGGTGATGAAATATGGAAACATCTTTACTCATTCATGTCTAAAACTTTGAAATTACATTGTTTTCAAGTAGGAAATAATTCTTGGTTTTATTTAGCATGATTTATGATCCTTTTTATTATTGTTTCACTTTCCACGACCCATTTTTCACATCTTTTGTGCGGATCCGATCACTTGCGTTCGATTCGTTTCCTCGCATTCATCATCCACAAAGGGTTTCCAAGGTTTTGCGTGTGAGTTCGTCTGCTGCTTAGGAGTTTCCCTTTCATAAGAAATGCCGTTGAATACTGGTCAGTCCAGTAGGCTCTCCCTGGGCTCCTGTGATAGCCGAACCAGAGCGTTCCTAACTTGGATTGCAGGGAGTGAATTTTTCCCTGGCTTGTCCAGTGGTAATTTCCCCACCTCGGAGCGATCGAAAGTTTTGGGAACCCGGTGCGGGATCGAACCAACGCTGTGGTCGTAATGATCGAAATCACCATCACTACGCTATCTGTTCTCTTTTAAGATTTCTCTTTATGCCGTATCCTATTTAGGGAACGAATTCGGTCATCCCGAATGGTTGGACTTTCCACGATTCGGAAATAATGAATCCTTCCATTATGCTAGAAGACAGTTTAATTTAGCTGATGATGGAAATCTAAGGTTGGTTACATTCGTGGAGATAGTTATTCCGTTGCGTCAGAATTGTTCCCCATTTCGTGCTAATGTTTATCTCAGGTATAAATTCCTAAACTTATGGGATGAAGAGATGAACCGGCTTGAGGAAAGCACAGGATTTTTGCACAAGGGTCCGGTATGTTTTTCACCAACTCCATTACTTTTAAATGTTTTTGATTTTCTTCCCTTTTGTCATATTTTCATTTCACCTCAGGGTTACGTTTCGTGGAAGCATGATGGAGATAAGATGATTTGTTTCGAGCGAGCTGGTGTTTTGTTCGTCTTCAATTTTCATCCATTCAAGAGTTTTCCTGATTATAAAGTAGGAGTAGAAGTACCTGGAATGTGAGTTGTGCAGCTTTCTTGGTCTTTATATTATTTTTTTTTCGTCGTAAGGTCGTTTTTAAGTCGAGTTCAAATATAAAATTCGGTCATTGTTTTGTGTCGAAAGACTACCTTTCCAATGATCTGTACTCTCTGTATCTTTGGGGTATCTTTCATGTTTGGTAACGTTTTTCCGTCCTATTGGTGTTCTGGATTTTCTTAGCTTTCTTTTCTTAGGAATCTTTCGAATTTTTAGTTACAAATTAGTGCTAAATAGCGATGAAGAACGTTTTGGTGGCCACAATCGTCTACAACTGGGTTCAGAACATCACTCTTTCCCTGAAGGCTATGCAGGACGTCGCAATCATGTACTAGTCTACGCTCCAGCACGAACATGTCTTGTTTTCAGACATTGATGTAGTCTTTCCTTTTTCTTAAGGTTATGGATGCCTTCAGATGGATTGCTCAAAAACTGTTATGACTATTGAGAAATTTGTAGTTAATTAGAGACTGTTGTGTTCAAAATCGATTATTTTACTGGCTCACTATTACGCCTTCCCATTTATGTTTTACGAGTTGGACAAATTTCGACGTTCTTCGTTTGTTCCGTTTTGATGTGGATATATGCATAAATTTATTGTATCGGAAAACGTACTATAGCTTCTTGTTTGCCACAGAACCGTCTGAAAGACCACAGCAACCGCGCACTCTAAGGTTTTTATTTCGTCTTCCCGATTATCAATAGTGACCTTCAAGGTGTTGCTACGAGATTGACATTCTTGGAATAATAATCCAATCTTATGTGTGAAATGAGATAGAAGACCAGAGTTCCGAAATGTTTCCTCGATGGCGTAATCAAAGGTTTGCTGCATAGTCTTAAATGACGAATATGTTGACTCGTATGACAATCATTTCCAATACAATTCAATATTTTCTTGATAAGGACACCCGAGGTTGTTACTATACTCTTTATTCACAAACGCTAACTTTGCGACGGATTTCGCCTTTCGAATCATCCCAAGTTCCGAAGAAGGTGAAATTCGCCAAAGCGTCAGCTTTCTTGAACAGAATGTAGTGACAACCTCATGTGTGCCTGTCAAGAAAACAGCAAATTACTGATCATTGCCGAGGTCGATAGAATGTAGGTTTTGGGAATTTTGAATATAATTCTCGTAAATCGAAGGCAGTTGTTTGAATTGAAATGTCGGATCTGTGTGTCCAGCAGCTGAAGCGGATCTGAATTAGAATATAAGATGTGTAATACGTATAGTACATGCCAATATTTAATTAAGTCTTCTTACTTATTAGGGGCGGCTGTGGCGGAGTAGTCGGAGATACCCTGCAGCATATACGTGAGATCGACCCCCACCAAGGCTTCCATCCCTCCGGAGTCGGCAAATTGTTACCAGACCTGTCTGAGGGGATAGCAGCGCGAGTCATTGTAAAGGCCAGATATGCATTCAATCACCTCCAACGATGCTTAAAATGAAGTATAACGCATGGCGCATCCTCAAATTTGGATCTCAAATCTGCTCCAGAGACTGGAGGTCACTAAGAGCCGACATTTGAATTTGAACAGCTGCCTTTGATTTACAAGAATTATGTTCAGAATGTGGCCACATTTTACTTACTGCCTATTCTTTCTTTCATGGCAGGTTATGATGTGGAATATAATCACAATGATGCTGAGATATAACTCCTATGTAATGCTGAGATATTTGCAAAACTCCGGACCGCAGGTGTATGCGGTGGGGAACGAACACGCGCTGTTGTCCTTACCGGTAAGAATGTTCGTTCCGCACCGCATACATCTGCGGTCCGGAGTTTTGCAAATATCTCAGCATTACATACGAGTTATATTTCGCACCATACTCTGCCATTAAAAAGAAAAAGGCAGTAAATAAAAGGATTAGGATGCTGAGATATTTGCAAAACTCCGGACCACAGGTGTTTGCGGTGGGGAACGAACGCGCTATTACCCTTTCAGGGGGGTTAACGTGTCCATCACCACACCATTTGGGTCTCTCGTTTCGCTTGTCTCTCAGCCGTCATTGTGGTTATATTCAGGATTTTTACGTCGTCGGTTTCAGGGGCTTTGTTGTTCGACGTGCAGTTGATGCAGCAAACTTCTGACTACGGCATGGATAAAACATATTTTGGTCTTCTTTCTCCTTTCAAACGTGGACTGAATCATTTTTTTATGATGAGAGAATAAAACAGCTGTTGATGAAGAGAAGGTGATAATCGGTTTGACGGGATAACTTGCGATGGATTTGTTCACTAAGAAAGATTCGAAAAGTTTCCTTCATTGTATTATCATGTTCAAAAAATGAACAGAGATCCAGTGGACTGTGCACCTCGCCTTGCTTGCATTCCCATCTCTGGGTCAACTAAAATCACTGAACAATCTTATGCTTGAAATCACAGCGTCACACTTTCACCCACCCTTCAGGACTAATTTCATTGTGCAGAATTTTGCCAGTGGATACCGCAGGACTGTCACAGTCACAGATCCCACTGAGTATTATGAGGTACTGGCAAGCCAACCAAAGTATTTTGGGATCTAAATATAATTGTGATTCTCTCATATTAAGTAAGCTGTCTTGGTGTTTTTTTCGTTTTTAGACTCTTTCTTGTTCTTCTATTCATCTAGTAATAGTTACGAAAGACATTGGTCATGAAGGACATAGGTGAAATTCATAATATAATGACAACTTGTTCACAGTAGAATACTAATACAATCTTAACCTTTTTACTTACTGCCTATTCTTTTTAATGGGAGCGTATGTTGCGAAATATAACTTCTATAATGCTGAGATATTGGCAAAACTCCGGACCGCAGGTGTCTGCGGTTGCGAACGAACGCGCCATTTTCCTTTCCAGGAAGTAACGCGTTCATCACCACACCATGCGGGTCTTTCGTTCCGCCTGTCTCTCTGCTAGTTTCATCGATCTTTTTGCCATCAGCAATCACCTCTCAACGGGATTGATCTGGGGAACCAGAATCTTATTGAACCCAGTTAAGCCGGGGGTATAGCTATAACAAAACTAATATAAACTAATACAATGTTTCTTCACAAATGTCGTATGCTCATGCCGTAACTAGGCAAAGAAATCAATATCTATCCTTTACATGTCGCCTTGAGCGCGTATCGACTGCACCGCTTGGTATAAGAAAACATTTTCATGAGGATAGGGATCAGGAAAGTGCAGTGAGCAGACATGCCATGCAATACGGGGATGGTCTCTGGTCTGGTTCACTAGAGGATAGACTGGAAGCTTGATATTCTTTATTCTTACAGAGAATCGTAGTCTACCGGGGTTTTACATAGCCAGTTCTTACAGCGCTATCTCTTATTGTGATGCTTTCTTCACCTATTGCTCTAATCCCTCAGCAATTCGTATGAGTCTTGTGAAATAAAACGGTTCAAATGCCACTCCAGTTCCTCCGTAGAATTTTGAGTTGAATTCAACCCTTAAATACGAAGACTTGCGGAACACAAACAAATGCAATGATGACAAGATATCATTCACAACTTTTTGCTCACCAATGCAGACGAAGTGCGTGCAGAAAAGCGGAAAGTCCTTCCATTAGAATCAGAATTGAGACGGATAACACACCAAAAAAGAAGTAAAGAATAAAAATGGCTACCGATCCAGCCCATCCGCCCATTGTCAAACCGATTGCCAACAGCATATCCCATAACACTTCGGACAGCTCTGCAAATAGTTTGAGTTTGTAAGTTTTCCATTCTAAGGGCGTACGACAGCTTGAGCTTGTAAGTTTTACATTCTTTGCTAGTACTGAGTATTTAACCATTTACATATAAAAGGCATGATGAGCCCTACAGTGTACAGTCAACATGAGAACCCCCAATGGTTTCAGTTTCTCAAAATTTTGTTGGCATCTTCTACATAAGACCTCATTCAAGTTCAGGAAGAACCTTTCAGGATTAAGAAAAAAAATCAAATTAATAAGCTAGATTTATCAGCGAGTTGTCAGTTACAGAAGTACGAAGTCATTGGAAAAAAATTCTACATGAAAAGATCTCACGTGCGTGTGCCAAAGAAAGAGCCCAAAGACGAAGATATGAGGCAGTGTGAGAAATACATCCAAGAGCAAATTCGATTGTATGAATAGCCTGGTAGACCATCACATCAGCGAAACTGAACTGAAATTGGAAAAGAAATCGAAAGAAGGAAAATGACGAAAGATTAAGCGCCTATGAAGAGCGTCACACCTCTTCAGCAGCTCCGTCGCCACCATGGCTGTGGCCGCCGGGTAGCGGAAGCCCTCGATTGTGAAGTGATCTCATGTAGAACGGCTTCACCAACAGCATTATTGGGATTGAAATAACAGCTAAGCCTAACAGAATCTCTTCAACAACTCCCTGGAAGTAAGAGAACGCTGCAAGAGGTCGATTTTTGTACGAAAATTAGGGCGTCTTGGTAGAGACAAGTAAACTGAGGCTTGGCTTTACAACCACAATGATGCATGAATGTATCAACCGTAATAACCTGCCGTGAAAAATTGTAATGGGCGGTAAATAAAAAGCTAAAATTGTGGTTTCGACTACAGCGTCAAGTTAACTGGGTTCATTGCCGATTTGGGCTTCCCAGATGAATCCCGTTGACGGGTGATTGCTGATAGCACTGACCGATGGGACTAGATGAGAGAAGGATCCGCACGGTGTGGTGGTCAACGTGTTAGCTCCCGGAACGGGTAACAGCGTATTCGGTGCCCACCGCAGACAACTGTGGTCCAGAGTTTTGCAAATATCTCAGCATCATTGTGGTTGTATCACACATAACAATACCCTGCCACGAAAAATCGTAATAGGGAGTAAGTAAAAAGTTAGCAAAGTTTTATGTTGCAACGTAAGAAAGGCGCATCTCTTTATCGTACTCTTAAATTAACCGCTTTGCTGAATGGGGTCGAAAATTTGGTAGCTTATTTGTGTTAGAAAATAAAAAAACACAACTTGAAATAGAGACAGGCCCAGTAAGCCATTTTATACTCCGAATATGCATTTAATATTTCCCAAGACGCTAGGAATTCATTCCGAGGCATTGAGCACACTAATGGGTTGATCTATGGCAAATGTCCGTCTCCAAAAACACTCGAACACTCGTGGATATATATATATATCCACGGATCTCCCTTGTATAAGGGATCTCGAGCCGGTTAGTCGCGAGGCTACGTGGCGCGTCCCTAGTTGGCGGATAGGGGGTTAATCGCGGACCAAAAGTGACCTTTGCTTCCCTGAGATGCAAGTGGATCCAGTGGATGGACTCCCACTTTCTGCTGCGCCGATTTGGTGCATACTTTCTGTATTTGCTAGGCGTATTCATGCATGCGTGTGCGGTTGCGTTCTCGCCTATACGGACTGTATTCTATGAGTTAATTCGGCCAAAAGCCTGCAATCAAGTGACAGGAAAGTGTATGGGAGGCGGTTAAGAGTCGCCTCTAACAAATAAGCTCCGTGTCCACTCTGGGAGAGCTTGGCCAGCACCCGTGAGTATACCGAACCCCATGCTCAGAGTCCAGCAAGCTATACGTGGATATGGAAAAGCTAAAAACAGTAAAAGAAATGGGCTTCATTCCTTTAACCCCGAAAGAGCCCCCAATTTCGTAGCGTTGAGTAGGACGAATACGGAGAGGCTGCCAAAATTTCAGGGCCAGTGGAAGCTGCCTGGATCACGAAGAACTATGGCGACGATCTGTACCTACAATGCACGATTGGACCAAGAAGAACATCTGAAGAACGTCAAATTGGGACCAATGGATTAGAATGGAACGAACAATGTGAGCGGCTCTCTGAGTTTATCATGGCGACCAAGACCATCCATGGCAACTCGCAATTCCAGACGCTCCACCCTTAACGCTCGACGTGGAAATCTCCCAGTGGAGAGTACCATAACGAAATAGACCACATCATAGTAAATAAAAGGTTTTGCCTAACCGATGTCGCCGTTGTTCTAGAATTCTACACAAGATCAGACCAACATACCGCTCATGCAAGATCCTATTTTTCGCGGAAAGGAGGGAAAACCGCTAAATTCAAACACCGAAGTCCTAGAGCCACCGTAAACTGGGACTTATTCAATTCATTAGTCGGCTGTGGGAAGATGCCGTTGTCGATAACATGGACGAAGAATACATTCGGCTCATTCAACATCTTCAGGCTAGCGCTATGAAAGATGAGAGTTCGAAAGTCACCAAAGAGGCGCCTGTCTCCAGAAACATTCGAGCTGATACGCAAGCGTGGAATCGCACGAGCTGCAGGTGACCACGAACTAACGCCCGAACTTGCAAAGAAATGCAGAGAGGCGATAAAAGACGATCTTAAAGGGAGAAGAGCAGCAGTAATTGTCGAAGCTACAGAGGCAGGGAAAAGCATTCGCAGGGTCCACCAAAGCTTCGCCAATTACAAGACCAAGATGATTGCACTCCGGTGCCCTGACGGAACTGTTACAGCGTCTAAAAAGGCAATGGAGAAAATCATTCACGAATACTACTCAAATCTCTTCGATGGCCACGTCCACCTTTTGTCATATGAAATGAAAGAGGATGGATGTATTGTACCACCGGTTCTTCCTTCGGAAATCCAACATGCATCTCGTCGATGAAAAATCGAACATCGCCACGTCCGGACGGGATAAGACCAGAACACCTGAGGAACCTTCCGCCAGTTCTCGTAAACACACTGGCTCGGCTCTTCACACGTTAGCTATATGAATGCAAGATCCTTACTCAGTCGAAGAGCAGCAAGACCGTGTTATTGTTCAAGAAGGGTGACCTATAAAGGCAACTATCGCACAATCTGCTTGCTGTCTGTCGTCTATAAACTTTTCACTCGAGTCGTCCTAAACAGGATTGATAAAACACTAGACAAGGACAGCTATGTGAGCAGGCAGGGTTTCGAGAAGGATTTACTACGATGGACCACATCCACACGATAACAAGACTCATTGAAGTATCGCGAGAGTACAAAAGACCACTCTATCTCATTTTCATCGATTTACAGAAGGCCTTTGACTCAATTGAGATAGATAGTCATGAAACCCTTTGATAGTCAAGGAGTTCGTACTCAGTACATAAAGATTCTTCGTCAGCTGTACAAACATTTCACAGCCAAGATATCACCATTGTACAACAATATTAACGTTGACGTCAAAAGAAGAGTTAGGCAAGGCGATACCATCCGTCATACGTGTAGCCAAAATTATTCACCACCACCCTCCAGAACGTTATGCGAACATTGTAATGGGATAATATGGGAGTGGAAATCGATGGTCGGCAGTTACACCATCTTCGCTTTGCTGATAACATCGTCCTTATAACACCAAATATTAGCTAAACGGAACGTATGCTTGACGGCTTTGATAAAACCTGTGGAAAGATTGGTTTTCGACTAAATCGTACAGAAATGATGTTCATGAAGAATGGACTGGTTTCGTATGCCCCATTCATGCTCAACGAAACGAATTTCTCCGAATGCTCCAGTTACATCTATCTAGGTCGGGAAATCAATGTGATTAACGACTTAGCCCCAGAGATGAGCAGAAGGAAACGAGCGCCTTGGGGAGCATTCAAGGGTATTGAGGATGTAGTGAAGAGAACAAAGAACACCCTACTCCGTGCCCACCTTTTCGACTCAACGGTGCCTCTTGCATGCGTCAGAAAACTGGTCGCTGCGTAAGCAGGATGAAAGGTCACTTAGTGTTATCGAACGAGCAAGGACGACCCTAGGAGTATCCTGTTCCACACAAGTAAGGGATGGGATCCGATGCTCCGATCTGTGTCAACGATCAAAAATCAAAGATGCCGTTCTGCAGGCCAAACAGTCGAAGATAAGGTGGGCTGGACACGTAATGCGTATGGATGACAACCGATGAACATGAGCCGTTAGTTATTGGAGTCCTCGGTAGTTCTTCACAAAGAGCCTTGAAGAAAGATATGATGCTCGACGAGTCTCTAGAGCGAGCAGAACCCACTGGGCTACTCTTGCAGGCGACAGGGAAAAATGGAAAATTTACTGGCGCCCGCTCGACTCACTCGACGATCAACGGACTACGGGTGATACAGGTGACAGGTGATGGATGTAAAATTAGGTAATTTCTTCAAAATTTTCTCGTTGTTTCTTTATTTTTGTGCCCTGCAATTTTTCTCAAAAATTCGATAAAATACGGGGACATTACCTGACCAGGATACCACTGCTGTAGATAGCACTGATCGTAAACGTCATACGTGTAGTTTTTGTTGTTGATCACTACCGATGCCGTCGCGTTCGGACTGTTCAGATGATGAACGAATCCTGGCTGAAAGTGAAGTACATGGATTAAGTTTCAGTGTTCAGAAGATCCTCAACTTGCATTTGAAATGAAAAAGCTATTTCCCGTTAAGGTACGAAAAGATATGGAGAAAGAATAAAGAATAGGGAAAAATTGAACAGTAAGATCATGGTAATTTAGTTCTTCAGAACTGGTCACTATGGTGGGACACTGCACATGACAGCATTATGAATGTTTCGAATTGCTGTTAAACCGTATGAAGACGGTATCAACCGATCCAGTCGATCGATTGATATTCGATCCTGAGCTGGAAGAACATTTTGGAGGTAAAACAATATCGCTACTAGTGGATGGACGAGAGTAGATGCGCCATTTTTGGACGAGATCAAGAATGACGATCGTTAACATAAGTAACTCACATCTCTGGCTTTCAGCATGAACATATTGATGAGACCGATCAGTAATGATGGAGCACAATTCGATCCCGGATACAGTCTTCCGAATATAAAAGCCGGATTCACATAGAAGAAGATCCATTTAAGTACAACCTTAATGAAGTAAGACATTACTTCAGGATCAAGTGCCTATAGAAGGTCGAAGGCTTGAATTGAATGGTGATTGGGGATGCGCTGCAAGGCAGGGTTTCGTGCAAGAATAGAGCATAAAGCGTTTAGAGTTGATCAATCTCTTAAGGATGAGCTATGAATTGGAGTTCATTGGTAGCATCGTAAAGGTTGTTGGATTATCTGGGCTATACATTACATTGCAGTGGCGTACCGATTTAGTTAGCATATTTGCCCTTCCAGACAAGTTTGGTACCTACCTGCCAACGTCGGAGTGATGGGGTTTTGGTTTACCCTAGTCGGACGATCGGACCAGTCATCATCTGTAGCATGGATACACTAGCCACTACGGTTTAGGTAACTTTCCAGAATTGGCCTACCATTATAACAGTGAGTCGCTTCGGAAGAAATGTTGACAAAAGGGAATACTTCTGTTATGACGATCGCTAAGAAACATACAGGCACAATGTACCTTAGTCATTCGATAGGTATGTAATAAACATCACCTTTTTGTTCATAGCGCTAGAACATCAAATAGCATGATATTAAAAGATATTGATTTTGGTTTTGCAAACACTTGGACATTTGAAAAGGAATATACTGTCCAAACCCGGAAAAGTGCTGTATAAACCCATACGAGCACATTGCTGATATTGTCTTTTCCGTTCGTTTCAACTCTATTTATTCCATCAAATGCCAATCATTCGATTCTTCGCCCATGCTCGGGATAGCCTCTACCCCTCTTGGGCAGCAATTTTGCACCAGACTTGTTTGGAGAAGGTAAAAATGGTGATTTAATGTATTGACAGTCCCTGAAAAACAATTGTATAAGTCAAAAATTCATCCAGTCACCTCTACGATGCTATGAATTGAGTCGAATGCATTATGCCTATCCCTAGGAGATTGATCTACATCGAACGCTTTATTTTCTATCTTTTACGAATTTGCAATCTAATATAAGTAATATTTTAATGCAAAATACAGTATCAAAGGTAATGTTTCAGGATCATGTGTTTTATACATACACTAGAATATTAAATGAGGTGTTGGCATTCTGAGATACATAACGACATGACCAACTTATGGGTAACGTGTGAGTAGCCCATGGTTATCTATATTCATGGCTTAACTACTAAATTCTGACGCGACTGGCGTTAATGGCTGAAAAATTCATTATCTATCATCTTCACCAATCGCAATTCCGTTACTTCTAAAATAATCTACATGCACCAAGAAACTCTTCATTCATTTCTATCACGTGAGAGAGTTGTTTATAAGCATAAGAAGACCACGAAGAACACCATGGATCTTGTATGATCCTTGTTGCTACTTGTACTTTGTAGAGCAGGTTAATTCCAGTTTATTTATTCAGCTTTCCGGGCTAATTCATTAGCTTGAGATAAGTCCGAGCTTTCCAACCATTTGTTTCTCTCCGCGAATTGTAGCTTTTATCAAACTGACGAACAGAATTCAGTCCGTGTACACATAGACGCATCCATATACATCCATACATGAATATGATTTTGTGCATGGAGTAGGTTAAAAGCCAATCCCTGACATCAAAGACAACAAACGCTTTCCCATAACGTTTTCAATGTCGGTGTATTTTGTTTGTGCATTTAACCTCTTGTACGTTGTCGCTCAGGGGATTTACCACTAAGTTTTGCCTAGTCTTTTACACATAACGAAGATCTGTGGAACAGAGAAACTGGTAGGGATGTTCAGGGATTGATTGTCCAGGAATTATGTTTGTAAAGGCAATGTCTCACTACGTTAAGTTAGGTGGTTTAATTCATTAGAGCACAAAAATCACACCGTTTAACCTACCATGAAGCATAGGTAGACAAAAATACAACTGAGGAAGAAGCACTGCGGTATAAAGACGAAGAGAACGTCAACCAAAGAGCGATTATGCCTGGAAGCAAGAATTTTTCGAAGGATTTTCAATCGCACAATATGGACTGATGAGTTTTCCAAGCAACTAGCCATTATGGAAGTACCTAGGATAAATTTTACCCTATATTTGAAAAGTTGCCTGCATCGTTTCGCATTCATGTTATCTTTACACATGAGGATCCAGTGTAATCACACCACCGTAATCAATTCGAGATCGTATTGGGACCCAACTACATTTATAATCGCCAACATCTATGCAGAAGAAATCGAAGTTTCGGTGGTTAACGCGAACAATGCCATTCACTGTTTCTCCACTAAACAGTCTCACCGCTTTTGTTGTCATTTTCCTGGTATAAGTCGGCTTTCCCACGTAGTGTAGTATGGTTTTTTAGGACATGAGAAATATTTTTCGGTGTTCATTCTGAAATATCTTCATATTGGACAGCTCTATGCGATGACTGCAAGTAGCCACAGTGACAGTAAATGGAACAACACTGAACTACTTGTCAAAACCTTAATAATATACGCTTGAATGGTGACGGTGGCAGACTATTTATGCTCCACTTTCTTTGAATCTAGAGGGTTAGAAGCTCTTCTGCATATGAGTTCATGTAGAATGCAGCTTCTGCTGGCACAAGAAAAGAATTTGCGCGGCGAAATAAGCAGCCTGAACTTAAACGACTAACATGTGACTCATTGGTCATTCTATCTCCCCGGCATGAGTCATATGAACCATGCCAGCATCGTTGAGTTAAAGCTGTTTCGATTGTGCGTTTTGTGTTCATTGAAAGCAAAATACTTCGCTTTATTTTTAGCGCCTATGCAAGTAATGCAAACGAATACTAGAAATAGTGAAACATATTACGTCGGCGAAATCAAACTATTCTGAACTGTCCAACTTAGATCTCTCCAAATACAGTATTGCCAGTCTTTATAACTAAACACTAGATGACTCACATATGATTGCAGAGAGACAGTATGAGTCCGAATGCCATTTGACTGATTCCCAGAATAACTGACGTCTTCATTTTTAGCGGATTTAAGAAGTTTAATTTGTTTTTGGCGACGTTCCAAATTGGATCCACACCAAATGGATAAGGACCCTAGTAAAATCTTTCTCAGTAAATTGTAGCATATTCTATTTAAAGTAGTGGGAGAGATAAACAAATAGTGGTTGGGCAGAGAAGCAATTACTAACAATCTCGTAAATGACACTATAGGTGTCATAATGGTATCGTGGGAGTGCCAGTAAGACATCCACGATTGCATTATTTTCCCAGTAGTTTATTTTAAAATATAAACTATTTCCTTAGAATTCCACTCGTAACAGCACGGCTCTGAGGATAGAGAAATGGCCGAAACGTCAGTCATCGACTAACAACACAAACAGCAACGGCAATGACAACGAAAACCTGTACCAACCTCGCATCAGCTCAAAAAGGTCAGTTTGTAAGATCACATAAATAAATATATTTCTTTAGAGTTTTAGTAACAATTGATAGGTTGTAGTATATAGATGTATTGCTCCATCCTACACTTAGAAATATACAGAAACGATCCTCCGAACGACTTGAATAACAAACTGGTTGGTAATCGACTACTATTTCAATTCTAGTTGCCACAGTGAATGATAGCTATCGTATAGAGTGTGTAGATATGAAAAATACTGAAATGGAACCCGCAATTTGCAGAACGCTTCCAAATGCTAGCAGTGATGTGTTTCTATGATGAGCATAGTAACACATAGTAAATAAAAGGATAGAAAGAGGATAAAGTTTTCGGAATTGACCTGAAGGATGCGCCATGCATTCAACTTCATTAAACATAGTTAGATGTAACTGAATTTATCTCTGAACTACAGAACGACTCATGGTGAACTAGCGATGCATCGACCCAGTGGTACTATCCTCTCAGGCAGGTGCGGTACTAATTTGTCTACCCTAGAGGGAAGGAAGGCTAGGTAGCTCTGGAACCTGGGTCCGTTCCCATTTGTACTGTAGGCCATCTCTAACCACTGTGCCACATGCACTCGAAAGCATAACACCATTAAATATCGTTCATATCCATAGAACAATAAGGTAAGCTTTTCTATAGTCCATCTATGTTTACAGCCTCCGAAATCATCTAGTTCTCGAAAGATTTTTGTTTATTTTGAAAAAAACGAGCAAGTCCATAACAGCTGAAAAAGGCGTCGTCTAGTCCGCAACGAACCAGAAACTAGATGTCGTCGCAACGGTGTTAATTTATCAAGGTGGCGTAATGGAAATAGTCTATATTCATAGAGGCTACTCTATTCCTTATAAATAATAATTCTTATAGGTATTTCTGTTCATATATATATGTACATGTATGCGTATATATATATACATACACATATGCATATATGTATGTATGTATATATATATATATATCCTCCTAACGGTTTACCGCCTCATCGTGGTTGGGAGGTGTTCTTATGTGTCGGACTGCAATGTACAACGGGAGATTCGTCCGCTGGCAAGGTCTCCCAAGCTGAGAAGGAATCCGGCGTTTCCATCAGAAAGCCTAGTTAAGAGTAAACCAATACCAGGACCCACCACTGTCCTGGTATCAAAGTCGCATGGTGGTAAATCTCTCTCTGATCCATAAGGGCCGCGACTACTTGTGACGGTGAAGACCTGGGGCAAACTTAGCCAGGCTGACTTCGGGATTCCAGGAAACCACATTGGCTTAACCAGCAAGTCTCCGAAAAATTGTGATTATGCTGGGGTCCGCACAACCAGTGAGGACGGCCCATTATATAGTCATGAGGACGCACATAGTACAGTTGCTAGAGGAGTCCTGCAAAATACACATGGGCTCTGTTTCGATTCCTCGATGGTGCAAACTAAGTTGCCCATCCCTCTGAGTCAGGAAATTGATGCCGGATCAGCTGAAGAACACAAAACGTTGGCTGTATAAATGCATCGTTTTCTTGTTCAGCAATCGCGAGGTTTTTAAACAGCATACATTTACTTCCATAGAGAAACACAGTACAATACAACACTAGCTGACGTTTCGGCAGTATTGCTTTCTTCAGAGCCTGTAAGGGTATACTGGTATACAATCTACTAGACCAAACACTTCAATAACACTTACAAAAAGACGAAAAACTCTATAGTAATTATATGATCAACAGCTTCTCGAAAAACTCACCGCTTTTTACGTGACTTCATGACTTATTTAGTTGTTCTTGGTGTTGCTATTCTTGGTGTATGTTGTTGCTGCTCTACTGCATATATATTTATATATTTCAGCGCAGGTGGAGTACAACTAAAGATGCCGCCTGGCGGAAGAAATGAAATAAAAACCTGTCATTCCTTAATAAAATAGCCCACGAAAACACCACGGTTTTGAAACAATCTATATATTTGTACTTTGGGGGATAGCTAACCTTTGTGTAGATCGATGTTTCTAGATAACGTAGATGACTTTTTGTACAGTATTATGTAGCAATTATTAAATTATCAAACATTATTTGACATACCATTTCCGAATCAAAGGAAAACTCTGGTGGCCAGGTTAAATCCATCGTTTGACTGTTATTGTAGCTTTCTTCCTCCATGCGCGCAAGTAAGGACTTCCTGAAACTCGTTGTTGATGACGTTAAGGTACACTTTAATGATGCGTGTATGGCATTCATTAAGTACCATTGATTGATTATTATAACCACAGCGTTTGTGAACACATCACAAACGTCTACAAGTAAATTACCAAGATGTTCGGTACAAATGAACTCTTAAGCAACCCACGGATACGGGTTTTTCCATGATGACCCGAAGATATCGATCGATTTCGAATAGATATCATTGTAGAGTAACCCGGTGTAGATCGAGAATATTCCCATCAGAAGAACAACATATCGACCACCGAAGAACGTGTTGAAAATCTGTTTATTACAAACGGTAATAGATAATTTGCCATCTAATGGTTAATGCACCTTCCTTGCTTTTCAAGTTTCAATTTTTTTCCAAATAGGTGGCTTATAAACTACGTTTGCAGCTCGATGGAAAGAGTAATGTCCTTGTCTTACTAACACCTGGACACTTCAAAAATCAATGGTTGACAGAGCGCTACGTAGTCTCTACGTATGTTAACAGTTGTATGCCTACAAAAACATCTGGATGGAAAACGATCACGTCCGTTCCAGTTGCATCTGTTTTCACCCAGCATGTAGAATTAGCCATCACGCATCTTTTCTACCGCCTCCACATGTTCATTACTTTTTAAGTTTTATTCTATTACAGTAGTCTACTTCGGTCTATTACAGCAGTGATCCTCTTACTGTCATTCGAACTTCCTACTATTCATACCCTCTCTGCGTTTTGTTTTTTTTCATGTTATCGTTTATAAGTGTTATGTGTTTAAAGGTCCATTTACTCCGGTTTTAGATCTGCTGCAAGAAAAGACACGCATCGCCAAGCTCCTCAACTACGCGATGCCTTCTAATGCAATGTGCTCTTCTGACTTAACTCAGCAGCGTATCTTTAATTCAAGATTTAGCATAGAAGCAGTGTTAATACGAGCCTCTATCTCTTTTATCGCTGTTATGATGGACTTTCGACTTCGCCTGTCGAGAGCTAAGCAATGCCTATTGGTAGATGCAATTCAGATTTCAATGTTTGCATGGATATCCCTTTATTGGAATTTAGCGAAACAATGCGTTTAAGGAAGAAATTATGCCGTCTCAGTAAACGCTTGTAGCATTCAAATCTGTATATAAAGATTTGAAAAAGTCTGCATTAGCCAGCAGCCGACCATACTGAATCTAGCCTTGCCGAACATTTATTGGAATTCTCTCTCATTCGCAGGGCCGAATTTCTACTAACCTCGGCATCGGTGAAATAATTCACTGTTTTCTTGTTTTGCCTGCTCTTCTGTCACTGGTGACGATTGACCAAGAGCACATAATTTTGTTGCATATCAAGTTGGGGTTCAACTCTTGATAGCTCTTGATATTACATATTTAATAGACTTCATCGCGCATTCCAAGATCTTAATGTAGTTCCTAACAAAGGTTACTGAAATGTCTTCACTACTGGATTTGGCGATGACGAATTCTAGGACGTCGTTTTTGAAACTCGGCTTTGAGATCGTTCAAGGAGATGGTGATGAGATCGTGCAATATCTTATTTCAACTTTTGTACGAACGTGAACTTACGAGATTCACGAGGTGTTAAGTTGAGAAAGTATTGAACTTTGCGATGCTGAGCGGATTAACGCAACGTTGCATATGAGTTGATGTTAAATGAAGACTTCTAGTTGGATTTATGCGCTCGGGTTTGTCGATAGGATGCAGGTAGCCGGGACGTCAAACGTGGGCAGCTAAACAATTATATACACACTATTTTAGGTTGTTCAAAAATAAATGGACGTTTCTAACTATATTATTTAAAATAGCGTAATTTGCTTCAAACAAAACTTTATTAAACAAAATCAAAACAAACAACTTTAATTCTAATGATGCTGAGATATTTGCAAAACTCCAGACCACAAGTGTCTACGGTGGGGAACGAACGCGCTGTTGACCTTTCCGGGGTGTAACGCGTTCACCACCACACCATGCGGGTCCTTCGTTTCGCCTGTTTCTCAGCTAGTTCTATTGATCGGCACCATCAGCAATCACCCGTCAACGGGACCAATCTAAGCAGCCTAAATCGGCAACGAACTTAGTTAAGCTGAGGCTGAAGTCGAAATCACGATCTTAACCTCTTTTATTTACTGCCTACTATAATTTTTAACGGCACGGCAGGGTATGATGTGAAATACAACTAAGATAATGCTAAGATATTGGCAAAACTCCGGACCGTAGGTGTCTGCAGTCTAGATCGGTCCCGTTGATGAGTGATTGCTGATGGTGCCAACCAATAGAGCTAGCTGAGAAACAGGCGGAAGGAAGGACTCGCATGGTGTGGTGGTGAACGCGTTACTCCCCGGAAAGGACAATAGCGCGTTTGTTCCCCACCGCAGACACTTGCGGTCCGGAGTTTTGCAAATATCTCAGCATCATTGAAGCTGGAGTTCGGCAAGCGATGAATTCGTTGAAGGCATTTTTGCGTCATCGTCGCTGCTGAAGCAGGGGGAAAGTTTTTTTTCTTACCTCGGAAGTTGTTAAGGTCCTTGAAGAAGCGATATTCGGTAGGTCAGAGGTCTGATGAATACGACGGATGAGGCAAAGCTTCGTTGCTCAACTCATCCAACTTCTGCAGCGCTGGTTCCGCAACGTGAGGCCTGGCGTTGTCGTGGGGAAGGATTAGTCATTTTCCGTTGACTAATGCCGGCCATTGTTGTTCGAGTTTACCGCGCACTTCGTCGACTTGTTGGCAATATTTCTGTGCCGTAATCTTTTCACCCGGATTCCAAAAGCCGAGATGAATCAACTGGGCTGCAGACTAACAAGCAGTCACCATAACTTTTTTCAGTGCAGTTTCGGCTTTGCGAAATGCTGTGGAGCCTGATCATAATCCAACTATTTATCTGAACGTCGCCGGGTGTCGTATAGAATCCAGTTCTCGTCGCACGTCACGATTTGATCCAGAAAAGGGCCGTTTTGGTGCGCAAAATAAGAGCAGATGATACTTTAAAACGACGACTTTTTTGATTATCGTTTAATTCGTTCAACACCCACTTGTCGATTTTACTTTGTCTTTCCTATGTGATTCGAGTGAGCGAAAATTGTTTCTGTGCGTACACCAAGCTGTTCTGCAAGCTCCCAAGCAGTTGTTTCCGTGTTGTGTTTGCTTCCACCAATGCCTTCAATTCATCGTCGTAAAGTTCAATGGGATTTCCGCGGCCTTCCTTATCTTCAAGGTCGGAATCACCGGATCGGAATTTCCGGAACCATGTCCACATTGTTGTTTCACCCACACTACATTCACCCCAAACTTCATGAATGTTTCGAGCAGTCTATGCTGCACTTCGACCGAGTTCGAACCCATAAAAGAAAATTTTACGAAAATTCGTTTTCGACGGCTAAAATTGCAAGGTTCGAAATTGGCAAGAAGAATTTAGATTTAGCTTTTACGAAATATAAAGACATATAATTCTTCGTATTTTTGTTGAGCAAACGCGAGGTGTTATTATTCTTTATTCACAAATGAGCTGACGTTTCGGCGGATTTCGCCTTCCTCAGAGCCGCTTTCTATGAGGTCTATGAGGTTTCTATGAAGACCTCATAGAAAGCGGCTCTGAGGAAGGCGAAATCCGCCGAAACGTCAGCTCATTTGTGAATAAAGAATAATAACACCTCGCGTTTGCTCAACAAAAATACGAAGAATTACTTGATCAATGCCGAGGTTAATAGAAAGTCGGTCGTGGGAGTTATAAAGACATAGTTAGAAAGGAAATAAAGTCAGCTTTCTAATGTTACATAGCATTGCAGGGTACAATAGAGATCTTTTTTTGGTAAAAAACACATTTAAAACCAATAAATGTTTTAAAACGCTCATTTATTTCTGAACAACCTAACGAATTATTTTGTTTGTTTCTACAAATGTTTCTACAACTACTGATTTTTTCTTGATCTACAGCTTTTTCTCTCTGGTGCTTAATGTTTACATTTCTTTCAGATTTCTCTCCATTCGTTAGCAGTTTTTCTTTGCACCACCATTTCTTAAAGTCTTTCCATCTTCAGTGGACATTCCATCTACTAACTGTGAAAAGTCATCGTCAACCTAGTAAAAAGAAAGAAAAGGGAATCAAAAGCGAAGGGATGATCCTCTCTATTTTGGCGCTAAACGTTTAGAAAAATGCATATTACCTCGTCTTTGATTTTCATCGAGATCAGTTTTCTCTCGAAAACGACCAACAGGAGAGCAGCGAAGAACATGATGATGCCATGACCAGAATCACCGAACATGACGGCGAACAGAAACGGAAACGAGATGATCGACCACGGAGCTGTAAGCATAGTGGAATTACATTTTCACACTTTTAATATATCGCTGAATTTTCATTGCGTAGTTAAGTTAGTCACTTCACCAGTCGCTGATCGTTGCTTATGCAATTTATTCAACTTCTCAAGAATGGTATGTTCGTTTCTGATCGATACGTAATCATTAGTCTGACAGCCTTTCAGCAACAGGTTCATCAAACGTATATCAGCTTGGATAAAGTCAATAAAATAATCATCAGCGAAGTAATGGGCCAAATCGTCAAGATATTAATCATTATTTGCAAAACTCTGGACCGCAGGTGTCTATGGTGGGGAACGAACGCGCTATTATCCTTTCCGGGGAGTAACGCGTTCACCACCACACCATGCGGGTCCTTTGTTTCGCACGTCTCTCAGCTATAGCTTAACTGGGTTCTATGCCGATTTGCGCTCCCCAGATCAACCCCGCTGACGGGTGATTGCTGTGGCAAAAAGATCGATAGAAATAGCTGAGAGACGTGCGAAACAAAGGACCCGCATGGTGTGGTGGTGAACGCGTTACTCCCCGGAAAGGATAATAGCGCGTTCGTTCCCCACCATAGACACCTGCGGTCCAGAGTTTTGCAAATATCTCAGCAACGTTGTGGTTGTATTTCGCTTAGTAACCTGCCATGAAAATTATAGAAGGCAGAAAACAAAACGTTAAACATTAATCATTATGTTCACCCCCTGGTTTAGTAGGAATTTCATTGGCACGTCTACCCGCGAGCGGAAGAGCACATTTCTTGGCTCGTTTATTAACCAACGGGCTGATCAGTGTGGTGATCAACGGGTTCACCAGCACGCTGATCATCAGGCTCATCAGCACAGTCAAGAAAAAGCTCATCAGCATAACCCTCAACAGGCTCACTGCCACGGTAAACAACAGTCTCATCAGCACGGTGTTCAACAGGTTCAATGAACCCATCAGCTCAATCTTCGACTGGCTCACCAGCGTGGTCGCCAATGTGCTCCATTGTCATTTTCATGAACCACTGCATCAGAAAGTTCACCAGCAAGTTTGCTATTATACTCAGAAATCTCTTCCGCTCCATGGATGTGTGTTAGGCAGAAAACCCACTCTTTTCGTCGTGAACGAATTCAATTTTAATGTGAACTAGTTTGTCAGATTCAGATCAATTCCTACTATGGTATTTCAGTTAACGACCTGTAATCACAATAACCAAGGGACTGACAAAAATCATTACTGGGAGCAGTACTAGTAGGCTCGTTTTTGTGCGAATCGCTTAAGTGTGTCATAATTTTTTTCCACGTAATCGCCATTCATGGCGTCATCGTTGTTAATATCAGTTTAATAACAGGTTTTTGTTGTTCTTTATTGTTAACGTATCTGATAAACAGATTTGAAAACGCAAACAGTTTTTTCGCAAGTTTTTAGCCTCTTGCAATTCATAATAACTAATCACTGTGAAGTCGATGGTTCAACCCCGTCCAAGCACGACCGAGACTTTTATTCTACTGTGTGAATAAATTAGTACTGGGATTCTTTGTGAAAAGCCTTTTGCAATGCATAAAGAACGGTGATCACTTGTGATGAAGACTTTGGAACCCTCTGAAAGATCTATGCAAGGATCCCGATCTCAGAGTCAATCTACTCTATTGGCATTCAGCGACATTCATTAGAAAAGGACAATAATCAGTATGAGGTAGTAACTCACCTGGATTCACTTCTCTATAGCTGGCAATACCGTAAGCGTCAACAATATTCTGAAATCCTTGTGTGAATTTGTTCAACTTAAAATGAGTCGGGGGCATTTGATGTGTTTCCATCTCGTTAAGTACGGCGTTTACGCTCGAACCAGACAGATCCTGCAACGAAAGCCTTTACGATTACTGTGCAATGATTCCTTTACTGTACGAGTATTCATGTCACTATTTCTGGCGGAGTAGGCAATATTTGCGTTAACACCATCGTTGCATATACTACAGTAGATGACTTAATCCGTACTGAACCGGCTTTTAGTTGATGCACATGGATCAATTAAGACAAGAACAATTCATTCTTATTCTCAAAAATGCTTCCCAACGATTTGCGGGTCTCGGGCTAGGATTTGCAGCAGGGTGTTCATCTCTCCAGCAGTGTCTTTCAAGCTGATCATAACCGTACTGGGATCAAACTAATCTCATCGTGGCAAATCTTTTTCGTATTTCCAAGAGCAACGATTGTCTGGGGTGGTGATAACCTGTGGAAGGCTACTGCTTAGTTGATTTCGGAACTCCAGGAAAGCAAAGCTGCCAAACCAGCAAATATCTGGCATGGGAATTACGCTGGATCTCGTTAAACCAGTGAAGACGGGCCATCCAAGTATCCTAGTCAGTCAGTAAATTTTCTCGAAAATCCGTTCTAATAAAAAAACTCACTGTGCCTCTATGAAGGGCCATTCTCACCAACGGCAGATCGACGGTAGGAACCCAACATTCAGCAATTAAACACTTCTGTGTGACGTCGACAGAAAACATGTTCAAAATGTGGAAGATTGACTTCAATTTGAGCAGCTGAAACAAAGAAAATTCCACGCAATCGTTGAAAGGATAATCCATAACGTCGTACATGAGTTGATTTCAATGCATTTGGTGTGAAAAAATGTGGCTGTTTTCAATATTAAACGAACGTATCTGAATATTTCTCAAACCGGCTTTCGTTTAACCGCGGCATTAATAATTATTAAGCTTACATAAAACTGAAAAAAGATTTATTCTGCTAAAGTTTCGACGTCCTTGTCTTCCTTACACTCCATGGTCCGAGTAGATGGTCCACAGTTTTTCCTATTTGGCTCTTTGCTGAAGAGCACCGCTCGAAGGAAGAAGGGACAACTGTAGACCATCGGCTCGAATCATCTGCTTTGAAGCTGATAAAGACATCAAAACGTCACCCAAATGAAAGTTCTTACCAACCTCGGGCTAGCTTATCAACGAACTAATGCATACTAACCAATCACGCCGAGGTTAAAAGAAAGTAGGTCTTTGAAATTCTATTGATTTCATCAACACAGATTGTCACGAAACCACCATGAAATTGGACAAGCTGCTCTGAGAACAATTCAAAGCTATAGAACGCCTAAAATGATTTCAAATATTCGAAATTGCATATGTCAATGATTAGAGTAAGGATATTGTTAATCGTGGAAGGAAAACAAGGCTTGAAATAGCAAACTTTTGAGGAAATTTATAATCAAATAATGAGCCTTGGCTCATAGAGAGACGAGAGCTCTCGTCAGAGACGAACAGAGTAGTGGTCAGCAATATCCTGCGATTCAACATGCATGTTCGATAGTTCGACCTCTCCACATGCCATCCAAGAGTTCCAGCCCTCCGGAGTTGTGAATGTGGTGCCAGGTTTCTCTGGTTCGAGTTGCTTCCGATACACAAGGGTTGACGGCTGTTTGTTTTCAAGACCTGAGAACGCCTCCACATGACTACTTCAGCATTCTAGGCAGAACCTCCTCGAACAAAATTTAAAGTGATTCATGAAGAGGAGCAAAAATTCTTTAGTAGCATTCGGATCCGCATGAAAATCCGATGATCTATGTGGTTGACGAATGCAATATATTAAACCGAATAAAAGAAATGCTGGGAACAGCACAATATGTGAGGACGAGCAATAAAGAAAGTAAATAGAAGTAAGAAGTAGAAAGTAGAGTAGAGAGAACGAGTAAGTAGAGAAGTATACAGTTTCATCGAAAATATAAAGAACTATTTTACTCGAATATTATACTGAGAAAAGCGAAAGGATACTCACCATGGTCGCCCATTTTTTTAAGCTTAACGATGCAGCGAAGATGATTTTACGACGATAGTCCAAGGTCTTGCTAATTACACTTTGCATGTCGTTAATCTAGAGATAAACTCTGCAACAGTTGACGACGGTGCTTGGTAGCAGAAGAAGGTATTTTTGGAAGAAAGGTGGAAAAACAAGCCAATCAGTAGGTTACCGTACCTGACCCTTGATTTGAATGAGAAGTTGTGCACGTTCATTCTGATTCTCAGGACAATTATAAATGGTTCCATGAAATCTGGGAAAAAAAAATTTACATAAATTCTAAGATTAGGCAACGGCAATCGATACTAATATTTATGAGTCTTCAAAAAATAAAACATCAATCACCCATTACAGATTTTCTTCACCCTCGTACGAAGTTGTTCACCAGAAAAAAAGAGGATAAACACCGATTTGTCGTTGCTTTTCTGATTCTGAAAACAATAATCTGTCGACAATCGTGTACTCTTCTGCCACTCTCTGATTACAACTATTTTCTGCTTTAAACTCTTAAATTTCTTCCATTTAGTGGCCAAGTTTACTAGCAAGGTTTCACATTGTTGTTATCTTGATAGTTACTTGAAAGTTGAATGGTCCGTTTTCACTGGTTGCGCGGGCCCCAGTATAATCTCCACTTTTCGGAAATTTGCTGGTTAAGCCATTGTAGTCTCCTGGAATCCCGAGGAAAGTCTGGCCAAAGTCTGCTCCAGGCCTTCACCAACATAGACAGTGGCAGCCTTTGTGGACGAGATGGAGATTTGCCACAATGCGACAAATTTGATACCACGACGATGGTGGATCATGGAATTGGTTTACTTTTAGCTAGGCTTCCTGATGCAAGCGCCGGACTCCTTCTCAGCTTGGGAGACGAATTGCCGGAGGGACGAATCCCCCGTTGTGCATCGCAGCCCGACACCCAGCATCACCTCCCAGCTACGATGAGGCGGTAAACCATGAGGAGGTGTTGTTATCGAGCACTCTTTACCGTAGCCAACGTCCCGGTTCCTTCGCCTTGTTTAGAGTCGCAATATTTCTAGACGGAACGTGCATACAAAAGTGTTCCCTACAAAATGGGTATACATAGTAGCACCGAGTAGAATGGAGGAGCGCATCACGAATAAAAGGAACTGACGTGAAAGCTCTCCGTGTAATATGACAGTTCTTAATCGATTTAAATTCAATACGGTTTTGTTTCGGCTAGTGACAATGGAACCCACAGCGGTCCGAACAGGATGAGATGTAAACCGTAACAATATTCGAGAAAAAATCGCATCGCTGTATGAGATCACTTCATTCATGATGTATTCCACTTCATCGGAGAGAGCAGGATGCTATTACGGTAGTCTCATCTAGCTGGAAGCAACTGCTGTGAACACTGGAGTCGGATTATTACGGCTTTGAAAATTCGAAGGCGTTGGAAAGGCTAACCAAAGTAGGGCTTTTTTTTCTAAATGACTTGTCTTGACATCTATTATTTGGATTTCAGTATTTCTGACGTGCGATTGGTTTCGTCGCCTCCATCATCCACGAAAGCTTTCCAACTTTTACGTGTGGCTTCGGCTGCTGTTTGATGATTCCCTTTCATCATGAATGCCATTGAATGCTTGTCGATCGATTTTTCCTGAAGCCCTGACGTAGCCGCGCTAAAGAGTTCGCACTTGGTCTGCAGAAATGCGGAGCTTTCCCAGAGGGGGCTGGTACAAATTTCCTTATCTTAGACTTAGAGGGTTGGTGAGACGAGCGGGATTGAGCCAGCATAGTGCACACGGTGAACGGGATTAAAACTATTGCGCTACCCGCCCATGCAAAGCTTTGTAGCCAAAAAAAAACAACTTTGCCGAGCCCATTTCATACAGTTATTATTGTCGATCTGTGATTAGAGTAGAAAACAGTATTTATCCTTCTAAAACGATTGAGTTCGGAAAGCTATTGTCAGCTGGCCTTTTACGAAAAATTTCTAGAAAATAAAGCCAAATCTATTCTGTTAAAAGAGGAAGTAATTTCGCCATTATTGAATAGATCTCCGGTCGTAATCATTATTATTTCGGTCATTCATTCATACCTCAAGCATATCCATGTTTTCGACAATGTCAACGGTTCGCACAAAAACTTTCCCACGACAAAAACGCCATATGAAACGCTCGAAGGCGATCACCTTATGACGACTGATGACACCAGTGATGAATCTAAAAGCGAAAGTTACGGTATGTCTCTGTGGCGAACGCTATCTCCGTCCATACCCTCAACACACCTAATGCGAGACTTGTAACCCTTATCTCTTAATCTCTAGAAATATCCGTATTACTTAAGCGCTTAGCAAGTGTCTAAGCAATACAATGGTTATTCAAAGCTTTATTAAGCGTGATTTATTCCTCATTTTTCTAAAATAACGACTTTCATAGGCGCGCGTGTAATTCAAGGAGCGCATGAAGTGCAGTGGTTAGGGGCACCTCGCAACAGACTTGAAACATCGGCAGGCCACCGCAAGTCATTGGAAAAGCCAGATATGCATTCAATCACTTCTAACGATGCTTATTGAAGCCGAATGCATGGCGAATCACCCAGGTATTGATCAACGCCGAGCGCTTTATCCTTTTTAACAACTTATATATAAGTAGTTTTCTACACGCCTGCGCAGACACAAGGGTTAAGTGAAAATTATATTCGGCAAAGGACTCGGTGCCTTCGCGCTTTACAGAGCCATTCCCAAGGTTGGTTTCATGGGCGTATTTCTTGAGAGTGCACACAGTATGAATCGTCGTTGTGTGAGTAATATTGAACACGTTATAACGTTAAAGTCAACACAGCCGTTCTATTTCTTCGAGTTAATTACTTACGGCCTCAGTATCCAGGTATATATAGCGCAGTGATTAGAGGTCTACTTGCTTTACGTGTGGTTATTCGTTCGACGACTAGGAAACCTCTTCACCACGCCATGGTCGATAAATTGGCGCCAGAATTGTATCAATGGGCAAAAGTACTGTTTCACATGCATAGTTAGGGCCCCCTAGTACCCACAAGTTATTGTAAAGGCATAAAATTCGTTCAATCACTTCTAATGTGCTCATTGGGATCGAACGAACGAGAATACTTAAGGTATTGGTCTCAAAGTGAAATGCTTGATTTTCTTGAATTTCAAGCTTTATCTACAGCCACTATTTGTTCAAGTACAGCAACCACGCTACGGCAGTCTTTGGTAGAGCACTCCAAGACGACCAAATGGCAGAAAACATTAACTGCAAGGGGCGTCATAAAAAGCTGCGATGTCCTACGTTTACAGGGTAGGCTCACTTGAGTTCGTTTTCATCACGGCGCTCCTTCTCGATGTCGCTCTTGATGCCAACTGTGAACGGACCGGCTTCGCCTTTGAATGCTTCACTAATCGACATCGCTGCATCACGCTTCGTTGCCTGAAAGTCATTTCGTTTTTCTTGGTAGGCTATAGGCTATATTATTGCTAAAAATAGTTTTCCATAGCAAAAATACATAACAAAACGAGTACTCTTGCACACACTCACTGTAGATAAAACTCATATTCATTTATAAAGTAAGCACTCTGCAAGAATAAAAGAAAACGAAAAAAACGAAGAATTGAATCCGGTTTTCGGAGTTGTTTTACCGGAAATTTTAGTGCATACAATAACGTGTTAGGTTATCAAAGAAAGAAATACGTTGACTGCCCACACCGAGGATAAAAGAAAGTCGGTTCTCAAAAATCCTAATGAATCACCTAAAAAGTAGTATTAGCAGAATATTTTGACTTCCTAATAGCCCGAGATGTCGTAAAAAAGACCATAGTTAGTACTCCATCAATTCTTTTATAATGAGCTGAAGAATGCTTTCGTGCTCCCACTCTCTTCCTCTCTCTTTCTCACTCCCTATCACTTTATCTTCTGCGCTTTCTTCACCACTTTTTCCCTCTCCGTTTCTTTCTCTTCATTCCTCTGAAAACGTTATTGATAAAAGGTGTTTATTTTAATGATTTATCATGTGACGTAGACGGCGTCAAGATAACGCCTAAAGACCAACAATTGGTCTTCAGACATTTCCGATGAGTTGAATCGAAGAAATTGAAACTGATATCAGTCTGAATCAGCACCAACTCCTGAGTTCATGTGCAGTAAAAATGTGAAGTGAGAAAGAAAAAAAATCAGGACCTAAAGGTCTTATGTAAATTTGAGAAGTTAGTGATTTCAATAGAACGTGAAGGATTTTCATTACATTAGAAAATAGTCCACGGTAGTTGACCTCAGCTCACTGCAGTGACTAGCTGCAACTACGTCTACCGTTGCCAGTTGAACACCTAACTCAGACCGTTCACCTGATCTGGATTAACTGGCCACACAAGCAGCAAAATATAGTCTTCAACGAGATATGCTTTTTCTTTCATATCCACTTGTAGTTTTAGTTGCTTCGGTGATCATCAGCGTTCTCCACTATCATTAGTTTCCATGAAGTCTTCTCTACTCGAAATTATTAGCATAATGTTGTCACTTTTTACTTACTGCCTATTTTTCAATGGCAGGGTATTAGTGAAATATAAAGGATAAAAGCATAAAGCTCTCGGCGTTGATCAATCTCTGAGGGCCATGCATTCGACTTAGTTAAGTATTGCTGGAGGTGATTGAATGTATATCTGTCCTTTACAATAACTGGCGACTCGCGCTGATCTACTAATGTATCGAGCCGGTGCTGCTATCCTCCCAGACAAGTCTGGCACCAATTTAGCGACCACGGAGGTATGGAAGGCTTGGTGGGCCCATGGGGGCGAGGATCGATTCCACGTGTGTGTCGCAGTGGTGCCTCCAACCACTGCTCCCTTATGTGAAATATAACCATAATAATACTGAGATATTTGCAAAACTCCTGACTGCTGGCGTCTGCGGCGGGTACCGAACCTTGCTAACGTGTTCATCACCACACCATACGTTTCCTTCGTTTCGTCGTCCTTTCAGCTGCTCAAAAAGGGTAAATAGCGTGCTCGGTCCCCACCGCAGACAACAGTAGCCTGGAGTTTTGCAAATATCTCAGCATCATTATTATTGTTAGCATAACCAACGCTTTTTCTTGCAGCTCTTCTTTTTTCGTGACATTTTATTAGAATACCCTGAAAAGGCAAGAATTTTATGTCGTAGTGGGCAACTTTCAAGGTACTAGATTCTATTGATTTATCAATGTGTTCTACTCACCGCGTCCAATAGGTGTTGAACATTCTCGAGTACTGCTTTCATCTCATTCAACTGGATGTGATTCTTCATTAGTTGCTTAGAGCTGGCATTGATCGATAGCAGTTCTTCTTCGAGTTTCTCGAAATTTGTCTAAAACCGACCAGAGACTTTTTATAATAAACTAAATCGATTCAAAGTATAAACCAAGGAAGAGATTCGCTCTCAAAGTAACCAAAAAGAGAAACTTTCCAAGAAATAACAACAGCGGAACTACAAAAATATGTCTCTTTGATATCCCATGCAGATTACTTTTCTCTTATCAAAAATATTAACATTTGATAAGGGATGAGTTTTATATATACGTGGTTTTTTAAAGGAAATTGAGTACTGTCATTACGTCTTAATTTACTTGCTGTATATTCTCTTTCCAAGGTAGATATGATATGGAGTACAACCCCAAGTATGCTGAAAATTGAGCAAAAATCGTAACCTTCTTTGGGTTTCGAACCTGTGGCTACCATTAATAAGGGCTCACGTGGTATCACCCCACCAACCGAAGACCTTGCTTTGCTTTCCTCTCAGCCATGTTTCTACTTTATCGGTGGTATCAGCAATCAACTATAATCGAATAAAAAGATGGAAGGTAAAGTAATGGTCTTGGCTGGTGTGGTCGGTAGTGCTTGGTCCCTCGGCAAGGTTTAATTGAAGCCAATTGAGGACCTGAGTTTTGCGCATGTCGGAGCATTCTTGTGGTTTCAGTTCACATCGACACTGTCATTACATTTTTGAAAGCGCCCGTGATTGCACAGACAAAGCAAGAAATCACGATAACGAGAGCGTTATAATCCATGGTTCTGGGTCAAATCACGAGCGATTCGTCAGGTTACGTCATTTTGTCATTCAGTGAATGACATCATGAGTTTTTGAACTTTCTAAGGCATCTTCGTTCTTTGACTATGTGTGTTCTTGCCATTATCACTGTATTCGTTAAGGAACCTTGCCTTATATCACTGTATTCGTTATGGAACCTTGCCCTATACCGACTAAGCCCAAAAGTTCGCAATACCCCACCTCCATCTCCAACATGCTCCTCGGCGGTGGCGCTGGGATGTGCTCGTCGTAGTCCTTGAGTTCTACCTCATCTTTTAGCACTTCAGCCTCAATAAAATCTGAAATCGTTGTTTTTCAAAAAAAAAAAGCTCTTTTGAGTTGTTATCCTGTCCTGGTAGAAAGTATACCATTATTATGATCATTTACATTTTATCTACAACATGTTACTATTGTCTTACGCAATTTTCTTTCCATCTCTTCACACCGACGAATCTCATTGACGAATTTCCTCTGGTACGGATTCAATTGGGCATTTAACTGAAAACCAAAAGGTAACTGCAATAATGATACCAGTAGTAGCGTATTAGGACTTCTCTTAAAGTGTTATAAAAGGAAACGAAATTCTTTATAAAGAAGAGGAAAACTGTAGTTCTCTTGCATCTAAAAATTGAGCCAGTCCGAGTTCTCCGAGTTCCGAGACGCAGTGGTAGGCCGAGTCGACTTGTAAGAAGATTTGGCAGAAGCTCATCACCTCCGACCGATAAATCGAACCCATCTCGTATTGTCAGCTCGCGCCCTGATAAAGAACTCATAGACAAAACCATTGTTTATTTTAACGAGTTCCGAGATCAAATGGTGCTCGAAAAAATAACACAAAATAAACTAGAGTTACTTTAAAGAGACATTTAGATGTTGACGGATTCCCGTTGTTACTGTTCAGTTCACAGTTCGAACGATAATATTTGAGACATGCGTCTATCGGAAGCACTGATTTCAGTCTTATTTCATGTCTCTTAGTACCATAAACGTACAAGAGGAATATTTTCCAAGAGCTTGTAGGTAAAATGAGCTGGCAAACAAGGATAAACGAATTTGTCTTGTGAAGTGTTATTGCAATGATAGACAGCATTCAGGCGACACGTTTCAAATGAAATGGATGGATACCCATCGTTTTCCGCTCGCAGCCAAACCGATGACAACTAGTGATGAGAGAACAGAGCTACGAACCTACGTCACAATTATCATTACCACTATGTTTTAACTTTTATTTACTGCATATTCTTGAACGGATCTGTAAAGAAAAGCTAAAACATTGTGATTTTGAATGCAGCCTCACCTTAACTGCGTCTGTGCCGATTTTTGCTCCCAGATCATTTCCGTTGAGGGATGATTGCTGATAGCATCAACAGAGTAAAAACAAGGCTGAGAGAAAGACAAAATAATGGTTTTGGATGATGTGGTATAAGTACCTCTTCAACCCCTGGCAAAGGTAATCGCTGACTCGAAGCCTCATGCGGCTCCTAGTTTTGCTCATATCTCAGCATCCTTGTGATCACAGCCGTCGTCCACGACTACGGTTTCTTACCTCACTGTCCAATTCCTCGACAGTGGAGTGACCTCCATTGTGTTAATCGCACCTCAACTCACCAATGTGTAAAGAAAAAGCGAAGTGGTTCGCAAGCGCTACCACGGTTAGCTGTTAAAAAAGTTTCTTTCTGGAAGGGTTTCAAAATTTTATAGAAATATTTGCAATTAAAAGCCAATTAGCGAAAGAATGGTTGTTGCTTTATGTGTTGGCCGACTACTACCAGTGAATGGAAGCGATATGACTGCAGCGGTCGCTATCAGCACTGCAATGCACTTTTCTCTGCCTCAGAGCTGATTATCTCGTTTCGTGCTGCCAAACGCATCATCGACAAAAGCGCGAAATTCGCTTAATGCTTAATTTGCCGAAATATTTAGCCGTATCATTTAAATAACTTTTTCTTAGACTATCCCCTGTCCGCCCGCTAATCGTCGAGTGACCGACGTGGCCGTCGTTAATGTTAGCATTTTTCTTTGTTGGTGCTAGACTAGCCTTGTGCGTTCTGCTAGCTTCTACTAATTAACTGACAACCATGTCTTTCTATAATCGTTGGTTGAAAGTTGTAGCGGAATGAATCCCACGCGATTTCAAGTATGGGGCGGAAGGACTATTGACGCTTTTCGTGAATGGCATGGAAATAGGGCCATGATGCAGCTTTCGTATGGAGCAATGATAAGCTGGGACTTTACTGGCTCTCACTCAAGTCACCCCATCATCGGCCGAAGGCCATTTGAAACCAAGTGTTGCAGATGAAGTTTTATTAAATATTACTCCTTTTTTCAATTACATGTTCTCTCTCTTTATTAACGTCCCACAAAATTCGTTACTGAGTTGGGGAAAGGAATAATTAGTTTTGGATGAGTCTGAGTCACTGTCTTAACATCAGAACTTAGCGTTTTAAACAACTTCTTTTAGCCTTTTTAGCAACTGTTATCTATTTAATGCCAACTGAGCATTGTTTGCCTTCGGTGAAGAATTCCACTGAGAAGCATGAAGCGTTCATTGGAGCAACAAATAACACGAAAGCTTGCGGTGAACAGCTGGAAACGCTTGAGTACGTACGCCAATAAGGAGAAAAGACGACTAATTCTCAACTCGCATTTGAGCCCATAAAAGATCTTTTTACATTGACGGATAGTGATTGTAGTAAATCGAAAACAATAACGAAATGCTGAGGTCTGTACACAACTTCTTTCTAGAGCATCACCTGTCCTCCTATTGATCGTTGAGAGCCCGATGCGACTACCGTTGATTATTTTCTTTGTTGCGTCCTAGACTAGTCCAGTGGGTTTTGCTAGCCTAGGGATTCACTCAGCATCATGTGTTTCTACCACCGTTGTTTGAAAGTAGTAGCCAACCGTATTTCACGGGATGTCAAGTGCGAAGCAGAAAGATCATTGACGTATGGATCAGAATGCTCCACGATTATCTTTTAAGACTTTTGCTTTTCGTTTCTGGTGAGCAAATGGTGCCGCGAGGCGGCGTTCGCCTGCTATGATGACGAGCTGGGACTCTACTGGTGCAAAATCAAGTCACTCCACCTTCGACTGGAGAGCAGAGAGGCTCAAGTGATACAGATGAAGTCCTTTAATATCATTCTTTGTTTTCCCATGTTACATTTGTTTAAACTGGCCTTTTCTCGATGGATTTATTAGTCACGCAGAAAATTCGTTGCTGAGTCGAGAAAAGAATTAATTGAGCCCAGATGAGCCACTAAGGGTCGAAATCAGAATTTAACTTTCTAGACAACTTTCTAACTTTTTTAGTAACTATTATCTATTTCAAACTGTTCCCAACTGGCGTCTGGAAAACAGGAAACCTCTAGCGGAACAACAAACACCGAAAGCGTTTGGTGAATAGCCGGGAACCCTTGTGCACAGCTACCGAAAGATTTAAGTAAAGCGACATTCTACCAGCATTTAACACGTTAATAAGAAGAATAGACGACAATTCCCATTTCGCATTTGAGCATATAGAAGGATCTCATCACATCTATAGATGGCGACTGTAGGAAAACGAAAAGATTAGCGAAGTACTAAGGGGCGTGCGATCACGACCCTTTTGAGTGCCTATTTCATATTTGGCTTTATAGTTCTTTTACGAACGGCATGAAACCATTTTAGTTCAACCCTGAATACTTCACGTGAATTGATTCGCGGCATTACAGAGTTCTCTAGAGGAATTGTTTGAATTGTAGGAAAGACTTCGAGTTGTGATCACTACATATGTAATAGACCAACTTGGTTGCTAACAAAATTACTGATTAATGTTTTCTCCTTTCCGATCTTATTTTTTAAAGGCGCATCTAACGCACTGGTTAGAGGTGCTCTGCAACACAGGCGTTCGATCCCGCGCCTTGCCCTATCCAAGACCTCTAACCTTCTAGCGCTGCAAAATTGGTACCAGAATTGCCTAGAAGAATAAAAGCACTGACGGGATGCTTTACCAGATTACCTAAGTCATTTTATAGATCAGATGTGCATTCAATCGTCTCCGCAATGCTTAATGTAATCGGGGAGTGGAACATCTCTCCGAGATCAATCAGCCACGAACGCTTAAGCTTTTAGACATACTTTCTGCTACTTATAGAGCAGCGTAATTTGGTAGCACATGTGTAGATTCGGTCGATGGTTCGATTCCACGGTCGTTAATTTGGATTTTTCTTGTCTATTCGTTTGGAATCTCTGCGTTAATGACTTTTTTTTAATGAAAAATAACTTCCACAACACAAAAATAGCTTTTTCTCTAGGTGCTTGTAGGCTTTTCTATCTGCGAGTATCACCATGCTTCAATAAGATCACCACTTTGTCAGGTGGCGATGGCCAGAATCCCGATGACGCATGCAGTGAGTCCTCGGAGATTTTGTATTTGTTCAACTAGAAAAATACAACGTATGTTCACAAAGCTAATAGGTGAGAAGCCATTTATAACAGTTAACCTCATTTTAGAGCAAGATCGCCATCAGAATCATTGTAGACGACGGCGCAGTCTGACGACCACATTCGCATTCCGAGTACAGGCTGCCATCATGATTAAGCGGACCATCTGTACTTCTGCAAATGGAATCGTTGCTCCGTTATTTATGAAATAATCTCTACAACTTCATTATTCTACTTTTCTATAACACACCCGAATCATTGCTATATAGAATTCAGCACCTATATGTTTTGTTCTAGGGGGCTTCGTCGTTATGAAAATATTCCTGCAGTTCTCCTGGTTTCAATTCTATGATGAAACTAATATTCAAAAAAATTTTTCGAGATGTATTATCATGTGAGAAGGAAGAATTTTAGCAGAAGGATCTCGAATGCTATCTATTGCGTCTCCTACCTCTTGCCATACTTCTGCATACAGTCGAATGACAAGCATCATTCTACTTCAAAAGCACTGTCTAGACGAGCATTTTCGCGGACAGTCTCCTTCAACTCGGTCACTAAACTTTAAACCACTAAAGATCCTCCTAAATTATCAAAATTTTATTCTTCTTGCTCTTTATACTTCCACTACTTATGTCTTCACATTCTATGATATGAATATGGAAGTTCTAGTTAATGAACTTTAAAAAGAAAGTATGACAACGTTGAAATATGACTGAAGTTTCTGGTCGAAAGTTCTATCTCGAAGGCTTGTTTCCGACTTGCAGTAGCACTCCTGCAATCGACGACATCTTTTAAAACTGTTGTTTGTATCGCCAACACTCACGAATCAATCACATCGTTTTTGTCTCACTGCCACCCATTTTATCGACATTATGAGGTCTAGGGGCGTGTGTGGTGCAGTGGTCGAAGGCGCCATGCAACACACACGTGGAATCGATTCCCGCGCTCATGGCCAACTAAGCCTTCCGTCTATCCGAGGTCGGCAAATTGGTACCAGACATGTCTGGGAGGACAGCAGCACTGGCTCGATACATCGGTAGGCCACGGCGAGTTATTGTAAAGACCACATGTGCATTCAGTCACCTCCAAACGATGCTTGATGAAGTCGAATGTATGGCGCAAGCACAACGAAAAAGTCGTTGTTGCAGTTACGGAACGGTAATTGTCTCTCAACCAAACTTTCGAAGAAAGGATTCGTATGATTATGACGCATCCATAAATAGTAAGATCGCACATGAAACTGCATGACCCAGCAGTTTGTTCACTTTCGAAATCGTTTCGACGCTTTAACCAGGCAAGGAAAGTTCTTATCCTTCCGCATATTTGCGTCATCGTTCACCGGCAGCAAATTTTGCTCTGCAGCGATGGTCTTGGAAGCTGAATGTCAAAACTTTGCGAAATGTTGGTGAATCAGTTATATCAACAAATTTCCCAATAACGTGTCATTTCTCTTTCTTGCTTGCGCCTGCGCTTTACGCGATGTCAAAAATGCTGAGCAGAACGTAAATTTCCTAAACTGGATTTGTTCTAAGCAGTAACCAAGAACGCATTGTATCAATGAATACTGTCGTTGAACAGAACCGTTTTACGTATATAATGCTGAGATATTTGCGAAACTCCGGACCACAGGTGTATGCGGTGGGGAACGAACGCGGGCTATTGTCCTTACCGGGGAGTAGCGCACTTCACCACCACACCATCCGGGTCCTTCGCTTTGCCTGTCCCAGAACCATTTTTCTTCCTCATCTACGAAGACTCTAAAAAACGTATGGAACCAATTACGTCGTTTGCAGATGTCGTTCGCTTATGTTGGAACAGCAGGAAACCATCTTCTGCTAAAGCTAGCAGCTGCTAGGAGCGCTCTTCCTTGTATTGCTAGCCAAGAACAGAGAATTTGAAGGCAAAGGCAGTAAAAAAAAACGATGGAAGTCTCATCTATCGCAGTGAATCGCTTTTTATTTTTTTATATTTTTGCATAACCCGTATTGTATTTTACTGAGAAAGAATGGCGTGAGAAAACGCAACCTTAACAAATTCTTCTAGTAACTATACTCGAAGTGGTCCCCATTTTCTATATTACTGCACGTTTCCAATACTAACTATGCTTACTGTTAGGCGCGTTTATCCCTGTCTTATAAGCTACATCTGTACTTCTGCCTCGCTTCCACATGAACTTTGTGTACGAAGTACTCAATAGCTGCCTCCTTCATATGAGCGAATAAACCTTCCAGCGTACCGTTTATCTGATGTAAGTCTTCGCGGCTACTCTAACATGGTTCTTAATTAGCTCATCAAATTGCATTAAGAGAAAAAGTTTCTAGGCTATCCATTTGACAACTAACTCTAGTTTCTTCTACCAAAACTCCGCCGCTCAGGAAAGGTGTAAAGTCCCGGCATAATTAGTAATCTCACAGTTTACCCAAGTGCTACTCTTACTGTCCTCGTCTTCTTATCGCCTTCTCATTCCACATACGAGAATTCAAGTGGCGAGATCTCCATTAATATAGCTACCCCTTTAAGCTAGGACTTTCCTTCCCCATCACCGATGTCACAGTCATTCTTTAACCTCAGTCGTATACTCTATTACATGAGCTACCCTCTTATCTTCAATATAACTTTGCACTCATCGTTTTTCCTCGGTTATTGAATCGGTATTGCTTTGTCACTTATGCTGTTTTGGTATTGTCCCATCGTCATTGTAGTGCTGATTTTATTATTGTTATGAAGGCTTAATTACCTAAGTCCGAGATTGAGATCTGTTACAACGTCAAAAAGTCCACCGTGACAAATTTGTACAAAATCGCGACATCGAGCTAGCGGTTATTAGGTTCTCATAGCTGGCTCGAAAAGTTGCATTATAGTGGCCTAACCGCTATCACACAGCCTAAGTGAATTTGATAAAAAACTGACACATGAAAGGAAAAAAATCAAAACTTGGCATACGTAATTTATCTTCGATAGAAATACAGAATGGATAGAAGTGAGAAAATTACTATGTTATCACTTTTTATTTAATGCCTATTCTTTCTTTATGGCAGGTATGAAGTGAAATATGAATACAATGATGCTGATATATTTACAAAACTTCGGTTCGCTGTTGTCTGCAGAAGGGACCGAGCACGCTATTACCCTTTTCGGGGGCTAACGCGTTCACCACCTCACCATGCAGGTCCTTCGTTTCGCCTTTCCCTCAGCCGTGGTGATTCCATTTGATTTTCCACAGCCATTCGCTCTTTATATGTGACCTTCGGAGACGAGTCCAGCATTTTGGTGTGAAGCACCGCTCGTGTATCCTGTTCCACAAGAAATTCTAAAAATTGCTTTCTACACTCAAAAATTTGCAAAATACTTCTCGGAATGGGCTCAGTATTCGAAGATTTGGCTCATAATTGAGTGTTATTTCAATGGTGAATGAAGGTTGTCGTATGGAATGATGGACGAGTGTGCTAAACATAGAAATAGACTCAACAGTTGCTGAATACTTTCAAATGGTACATATCCTTAATGTCCTTAGAGTGACTAAGCAAGCTTAATGGAGAACATTTTCCATAAGTATCGAAAACTTTCTATATATTCAATAACTTGTCTCTCATTACTTGGCCATTTTTTATGGGAGAAATTCTCTGTAAAACTTTTCCATGATGTTTTACTTTTTATTTTCTGCCTACTACAGTTTTCACGGCAGGGTACTAAGCGAAATACAACCGCAATGCTGCTGAGATATTTGCAAAACTCTGGACCGCAGGTGTCTATGGTGGGGAACGAACGCGCTTTTGGCCTTTCCGGGGAGTATAGGGGTATCAGCAATCACACGTCAACGGGATTGATCTGGAGAGGCCAAATCGATTTAGGTAGAACTAGCTGAGAGACAGGCGAAACGAAGGACCCGCATGGTGTGGTGGTGAACGCGTTACTGCCCGGAAAGGACAATAGCGCGTTGGTTCCCCACCTTAGACACCTGTGGTTCAGAGTTTTGCAAATATCTCAGCAACATTGTGGTTGTATTTTTCATGATGGTCTGATAAACTTTTTCTGAGAGCTTCTCAAACACCGTTTATCTGATTTAAGCATTCGAGATACCGTACGATGCCTTGTATCCGTTTTATCACATGGAATTACCTGAGAAATGCTCTGTCACCTCCTTTTCGGAAAGTATCTCCTGAGCTAATCTAGCTAAACTCCACCCATTACAAAAAGAAGATAAGCCACTACGTCATTTCTTGCGGATCGTCTTCTCCGTCGTCCTCTCCAGAGTCCCCTTCATAGTTTTCTCTATGGCTCTCTCTACGAATTTTCTCTGCCAGGTCGCTTACAGTCTCCTTCATAGTACTGATTCTTGTATCTTTCACCATTCTATATATTGCCACACCGTTAGTATTGTACTACGGTTGTTCTTCTGTTATACCACACGAAAAGCCCCACTTGGCATGTTCACACAAGGCGAACAGTCACCCGAGCTAACAACTCTAACAGTCAACAAATGAAACTATATTTCTATCACTGTAAACACCACCGCAAGCTCCTCTCCCTTGTAATTATGGCATAAGTTCTCACGTTAAAAAACCTTTTCAAGTCCTTCAGTTATCGAAAAAATCAAACGTTGTTAAGAAGCTAACAAGCGCGTCACGACACAAAAATAGGTGTCGCCTATTTCCCCATCACAGAAAATTAGGGTCGGTATCAGTGAGCCAAGTGTCTAAGGGGTTGAAAGGCATGCATAGCACAATTGTTAGGGGTGCAGTGCGAGATATCACACAAGTTTATTTGAAACGATAAAAAGGATAAAACGTTAATTGTAGCTTATTTAAAGTATATCTGGCCTCCACCATGACCTGTGGTGGATTTCCGATGAACCTTGGTACCAATTTGTTGACTACAAAGAGATGGAAGGCTTGGTTTGCCAAGAGCATAGAATTGAGCTAACGATGTGGTGTGTTTTGCGGCATAATTCCAACAACTGTAATTTCTGTATGATTCTACAGAAGCCATTTTCCATTACAACATTTCATAAAAATTTCGTTAAATTTAAGTTTTCCCGCCATGCTGATCGCTACAGTAGACGCATAACGTCACCTTAGTCATTCGAAGAAAATGTAATAAGCAATCCATTTTTCTCCTTAGCCATAAGAATCAAAAAAAATAGTTTTACGTTAGATGAGTTTAAGTTGAGTTTTGTCTTGCATATAGGACCAGGCAAGCGTTGGTTACTCTTTGATCCTAATGCTGCCTTCTCTTTTAATAAATCGCATAACTGACTTTCTAATAACCTTGACATTTAATAATCTAGTTGTTGACAGGCAGGAATGAGGCTTTTCGTATAAAGTTTACTTCATATTTACTAACGTTTTGGCGGTCTCGATTTCTTCAAAGTGTATCAATTTCGATTTCAAACGCAATCTACTCGGTGAAATACATTCGTAAGTTCAGCAGAAAAAACTCGGAGAGTAAATCCCAACTCTCACGAACTATTTGCTTATTTCAACAGTTTCTTCA